ATACTTTCCCCTCGAGAAAAGGGAAAAAATATATTAAACCTAATTATAACTGAATTATGTATAAACCCTTTTTGTTCCACTTTGAATCCCGGAAAAGAAAATTTCTTTTTTTTTTATTAAAAAAAAATCTATTCCTTTCTGTCTGTTATATAAAACTTTTAACATTAATAATCGCATAATAAATTTTCCCCAAATTTCTGTCTCTCTGTAACGACAATATTAGAAAAATAAAAGTGTTTCTGTTTTGTCTGGTCGAAAGGTTGAATACGAAATATGTTATTTTAAAATCCTATTTCCGCCACAAACCGATTCGTGAAAAATCATAGGAATTTTTGAGATGACGTACACCGTCTGAATACACAAAATAGAGAGAAATAAAATATTAAGTACCGAAATTAAAACGGCCATATTTTAGCGCGACACAGAAAAGAAAATACAAATAGCTTTTGTCTTCGGATAAAAAAAAGAAAAATATTATGAAAGTCTCTACCATCAATCTTCTTTTTTTCTATATTTAACGAAAAGCGACAGAGGGTTTAAAAATAGAAAAAAAACCATGTACATACGCAAAACGTCAAATTTTACAATGACACATCGCGTGATCGGATTAGGTTTAAGAATCGAAGGTTTCTAGCTTAATTAAAAAGGAAAAAATGGACATACGTTATTTTAAAATGCCGACATTAAGTGAATATAATTCTTCTGTAGATCAATAGACCTCGGGGGCACTCCTTTTTAGACTAACATAAAGGCGTAGGTATAATTTTCCTGCTGGAAAACTTAAATGGGTGGGTAACAATATTTGAATATTGCTGTAAATAACTTTAGATAATTTTTTCTTGGAATTTTTGTTTAAAGAAGGAACAGATGATAATAACATAACTAAACTTCACCTTTTTGAAGGAATCCCAGTTCCTTTCATTACGCCGCTGGTATAATTAATTAATTATTAATAAATTATTCTATTATTTTATCTATAAAATTAAGTAATTTCTCAGTATACATTAACAATTGGGTAAGTTTTATTTTTCTCAAAAAGTCTACTTGATTATAAAAATTTTAATATTAAAACCAGTTCTACACATCACGTTTTACCTGTCACTTAAGACTGATAAAAAGCTAGGGTATACACTGGAAGGTTTATCTGGGGTTTTATCAATTATAGCCATTGTGTTTTGTGAAGTTGAAAAGAAAAAACATGGAATTTTATATTTATGAAACATTATAAACAATTTTGTAAACTATACAAAAATATTAAATTTGCAAAAATCGCTTATTAAAGATGCTGTAATATGTCCATATTATTTTGTGTAAATTTACTTATATTTTTTTCAGTATAGGAAAAACGACAGTTTTGTCTGAACAAGTAGGACTGGCAGTTAAAACGTTACGTGTAGAAGGGTCTTTAGAGTATATAAACATTGTTTCATTTTTCGATAGTTTTACCTATTGACTGTTATCTAACGTAAACACATTTATCGCTAACATTGTATATTTTTTTTTTCTGAGAACTTGCCTTTGTTAGTAATAAATAAAACAGTTTTCAGATCGTACGAAAAAAAATTTATCTCGGTTTTATCTAATTTAGAGATATGTTTCTAATAATTTTACTGGTTTTAGAATTAATTAAGAGGCACTTACCTTCTTTTCGTTGAAAAAAAAATCTGCTAGTGGCTGGCAAAATTTCCCAAAGGCTCTGCACCCATCAGAGTGTCCGATTTGATGTCCTTTGCTTCGCACAACCGACTAACTGGCAGGCTGGTCATCTCCATTCCTTCGGTTGCCCTTCGTCAAACAATATCTTCTACAAACCCCATATTAATACACCCTCTAAAAAATTCAGCCCCAATTAATTAATAATTACACGGCAAAAATAAACACTCGAATGTCCGTATTACGAAGGAAAATATTTATTTTTGGCCTTGACACATTTCTGAATATTTTTTTATATAATTAAGCTAATAACAAGGGCGTCTAAATACTAAATATATATTTTAAAAAAATGACGCACGTAATGGTTGATGGTTGTTTATATATAATTTTTTTAATGTGAAGTAAATGTCAGGCTTTATTAAGTTTATTGAAAAAAATAGCTGGTACAACGACTTTAGCCTATATGCAAAAATTTGTAGTCGAAGATGCACTAAATGAAAGCAAAATCGATAAATAGTGTGAGCGAAAATTTCATTGCAAAGTATCTGTAAATTACCGTGGAAATTGCAGGAAAACATGGCATGGTAGTTTTCATGTTTTTTCTATTGGAAATTGGGTACCTTTCGATTTCGGAAGCCTGAAAGTGAAAAGTCACTAATATAAGGAAGTGAGTGGAAAAATGCGGTAATATTCACATAAGTTGTGATGAGGAATTATTTGCTGTTTTCTGCAAAACCCATAACCCATAAAAACACTGTTAATATGTGAGCAAAAAATAAAAATTTCCCGGTTTGATCGGTACAGTGAGTACGGGGTCTTGACGACGAAATGGGAAATTATTGGAAATACCGCGTCGGCGTACCATGTTGCCACATTTTGCCCCCGAGACAAGTTTAACCCTGACCTCTAGAACCTTACTTCGAATCTTCCAAAAGACTCAAGAATGCTTTTCCTAATTTGCCACCCACCAACTTTACGTTTTCGTTTTGTTTCATTAAAACCTTTTTTTTTTATTTATTACCACCATTTCATTTGTGCACCATTTATTACAAAATCAAACATTCAAATTAAATCAATATTCTTTCTTAATAACTATATTAGTATAATTTAAACCATAGTTTTCTTATGTGAAATTATTTTTTTTACAGTTTAAAAAGATTTATCCTTCAGAAAATCCCCCGTAGAAATCGTATCATGTCGATTAGCGCCATCTAGTCTCGATAATATATACTAGCTATTGATTAATTATTACAAGCTTAAAAATACCATCATTCAGATGCAAAAAACGCAACGGAAATTTTTTTCGTCAAATTTAAAGTGTTTTATTTTTTATTTTTAGTCCTATTTTCATTAATTTTTTAGCAAACTGTATATAAATATATCAACTTTAATTCGTAAACTCAGTTTTTTATAAACTTTAATATTAGGCTTATTATACAGTATTTTTATAGTTCTACTCAAAGGAAAACTTTATTAGGTATTAGGAGACCTTGGAAAGCAATATTAATGGTAGGGCCACCAGGTACTGGTACAACAATGTTGGCAAAATTCAGGTGCAGATGTTACAAATGCGTGTGCCGAGTTGCATCCATGATGTCAATGAGGTGGAAAATTTGTGGTCTCAGGCGTGACCAAATAAAACAGCTCCCTAAAGAAGAATTATTATCCTAAGAGTTTCTAAACAAGACTTGATGAAAAGTGGAGTATTGTTTTGGTATTAATATTTTATCTTTATTTTAGTTTTATTAATAAAATTAAATATTTATTGAAAACTGTTTATTTTATTTATGCCAATTCATTAATTGGTCCCTGCCAGCAAATCAACCCCATATCTTTTTAAAGATATTGAGTTTTTTAACTATAAGTATATGAAATATTTTCAACTACAGCATGCATATTAGTTGTAGATCCATGTTTAGTATTTATCTTGTATTAATATAAGTATTAAAATAACAGCTTAGATGTAAATAGATTTGAATAAGTTGATTTGTATACGCGTGGATATCTGATATTTAAAATTATTAATGTTGAGCGATGTTCAATAATTGTTAACGTTTTGCCTCTTGTTAACAGATGGAGATTAGGCCAGAGACAGTAAAGTCCCTAGATACACTAATCTATGGCATGGTACAAAGAATACAAGGTATGATATTGCGCAGGTTGGTCGCTACGTCACAGGTGATAACAAGCGCTATTGGTCAGCACGCTCCGCGCGCCAGTTTAAATCGTCATGGTATTGTTATAAACCTGTTTTTTTTGTTTATATACCGTCATTGAATTATCGCTAAGCAAGTTACTATGGAGCAGTGCGTAAGGAGTTGGGCTAGGAAGCGAGAGACCGGGGTTCGAATCTTGGCGGGACATAACTTTTTTTTTTAAATACTGTTGTATTCTATAGTTTATTTTTGTAGTATAAAAGAAAGAACTATTTATTCTGTTATTTTTTAATCTGCGGTATTAATATAAATTGATTGTTGGTACAATACCTCATTTAATATAAAATAATATTCTACTTTTTGAAATGTATCTGGCCCTAATTGTACCTAAAAGTAATATATTTTTACAGTGATATACCATATTGTAAACTATTGAATATTTCAATCACTTAAAAAGTTAATTTGCATTGAATAATTGCCTACAATCAAAGGAAATTTGAGCTATATAATCCTTGATGGGCATATTCTGGGTATGCAAATACTTTTTTTAATACCTCTAAATTTTGGGTTTCGTTCAACCGATTTATTCTCAAAACCAGAAACATCTACATATAAAAAGAAGCACAGGTCACTAATTATAATAAACTTCACCCTTGGAATTACTTCTGTCACAATTACAATACATTCATCTGCATTGGCATTTTCTACTTTTCGATGGGAAACAATATAATTCCCAACATTTTTTAAATGATGTAACAATTCCTCTTGTGGTTACTTTTCCATAGATATCCTCATCTCTGTCGTCATGTGAATTCAGAGGCAATGAACATAAAAATTATTTACCATAAACATCGCAAACTAAAAACCTAATAAACAATTTTATAACGAATATAGAAATAAATTTAGTATTCTTACCTATTATGGTCCAAATCCATGTTAATAGATAATTATTATTTTTAAATATATTTTTGAAACTGCTGGTTTTAGTAATTATTAAATTAAACGAACTAAAAAGTCTTAAAAATAAACAATTCTTAACCATAACCCCAAAAAATGCAGATCTCCTTTCAACTTTCTTTATTTTTTATTTATTCATTATTTTCCTAGTGACGTCACAGGTGGTATGCGCGAACTGAACGAAATTGGAGCCGCTATCGATCATACCTTGTATTCTTTGTACCATGAATCTATGGCTAGAATTTGACAAGTATGGTATTTTGATGCACTCAGCTGGAGTAAGTTTTTGGAATAATCGACCAACTTTGCGTTTAAAAGCAATAAAGTAGAAGATTATTAATAAATAAAAAGTACATCATGTATCAATACAATCGATATGGCTTAAGTAAAATTTAAAATATGCATCCAACAATTCCTGCTATTGAATGTTGACAACTATGTTGTTTACATTATTTGTGAGAACTAACTTGAGTTTGATAATTTTTTTCCCACAAAAATAGCTTAAACATGGATTTCGACAGCCCTGAAGTCATGAAAGACTTCCCTGGACTATATTCGTCTGAAAAAAAGAAGGGGAATGATAATGATTGTATGTATATCAAGATAAGATAAGACCATCAATGTACAATGTATCCCTTTCCTTTTAGATAATGACGAATGCGAAAAAACTACGAAAAAAGACATGCTTATAGGAAAACGTAAAGAAAAAAAGGACAAAAAGGATAAGGACAAAGGTTATGCAGCCCTTGAAGGTGAAAGCTCTGATGAAGCTAGGTAATCGACTAACAGTGCTTCTTAATTACAATCTTATGTTATTCATATTCTTAATTGAATTAATTTTAGCACATGCAAGTCTAAAAAGTCAAAGGCATTTAAGTTTACTAAATCTAAAGATAAAGAAAAGGAAAAACACAAGGATAAACAGGAGTCATCTAAGAAAAACCCACCTAAGAAAAGTGAAAAGCCTCATAAAGTTCGTAAAGGATTTGGTCCATCCAAACATTATGTAGGCGATTGTACAGATCTTGCAGGTTGTTAGATTAATAATAAAACCAGAATTTGTCAGTAAATCATTAAATTTATAGATGCTTTGCCAATTTTTGGTGTAGATATTGAAGAAGCTTGTACTAGAGGTAGATGTCACGATGGAATATCAATTCCACTTCCAGTTAGAGAATGTGTAGACTATATAGAAGCTACAGGACTTACTTTTGAAGGTGTTTACAAAGTCAGTGGACCAAAAAACAAGGTTTCACAAATTAGAAAAATATACAATAACCGGCAAGTAGTGAGACTTAATGAATATGATGTTCCCACTGCTACAAGCTTATTAAAAATGTTTTTGAGGTAATTTTAAGGAATGTAATTTAAGTATTAACTCATTCAATTTTGATTATTGCAGAGACTTACCTGAACCCATATTTACAAATGAATTATTAATTAGATTTGAAGAAGCTGGAGCAATATTAAATTATAATACAAGGGAAAAACATTTAAAGACTTTAATAGAATCTTTACCAAACTTAAATCGTCTTCTATTGGGCTGGCTTATAGTACATCTGCATAATGTTACCCTTAAGGTGAAAAAATTAATATATTTAACTTTTCAGAAAAATATATTTTAGTATTTATAGGAGCATATTAATAAAATGAACAGGCAGGCTTTATCGCAAGCTCTTAACCATACATTTCATATTTCTTCAAGACTTTTACAAGCACTGATTCTACATCAAGAGGTTTTATTTCCAAATTTAGCTATAATCAAGTACTATCCCCCTTTAGAATCGGAAAGTGCTCTTCCAGACGACCCCGTTATTATTGAGAAAGAACTAAGCAAATTAGAATCACTTTTAAGCCAGATTCACTGGGAGATGCAAAATGGGCATTTCTCTAAAACTAGAGAGGAACATTTGTGGGAAGTGCAAAGGGTCACAACAGAATTGAAGGTAAATAATAATATTTTTATTGTTTTTTGCCTAAACATCAATTTTAAAAATTATAGAGGAAGTTAAAGAAGTTCGCTAAGACTGAAAATACAAGTCAACAAACAAGTCAAGATATTAAACAACAGTCTGAAGAAAAGGAGGCTGAAAAGGTCCTAGAAGAGCCTGTACAAGTGCCAAAATTAGAAGAAGCTACAACAGTTAATGTTGAGGTAGAAGTAAAAAATATAGAATTAACTTATGATAAGAAAATTGATCCTGAGTCAGTCACAGAGAGTGAAGAAACAGCAAACAGTTCAGATGCAATTAAAGAGCAAAGGACTGATTCTGAAGAAGAATATTCAGATTCTGAATTGTCTTCAACTGATAGTGAATTGTTAGAAGATGTTTTTTGCCAATATTTTGATGAAAAAATTGTTACTTTAAAAATAAAGAATACTCTACTAAAGGACCTTATAGAATCTCTTACAGAGAATATTAACCAAGAAAAGAAAGAGATTGAAGATCATCAGAAAAAAATATCTAACTTAATGCGCTGTTTGCCTCTGAAGCCTGCTTACAGAAGATGTTTGAAAGATCCAAATAGCTTCAATGAAGTACAGACACTTTTAGTAAGGGAAAACCATATGCTTCAGATTAAAAAATTACATTTAGTTCGCCAAGTTATGGAGCAAAAGGAGCAATGCATTGATTTACAAGCCAAATTGAAATATGCCATGAAAGATAATAAAGATCTGAAGATATTTTAAAGATATTAGTTTTCAGACGCCATAACTATTTAATGATTATAATATATTGCATTGTGTGTAATCTATGTACATTATAAAATACTAAAAATAAATTATATTATTTGTTTATTTTTTTTGTCATTTGAAAATAATTAACTTAAATCTTTTAAGTAACCGTTTTCAAAATTGGAAATTAAAGGGACAACATTTTTTTTTTATTAATTACTGTAGAACTACTAGAAGTTTCAGGAGTTATGGCTATATCAAAATTATATATTATAATGTCTCATTTCTAATATTTTAGATCAGACCTTTAATTGTATTAGACTGAATATTTAGGGCGCACCAAAAAGTATATTTTTTCCTATTTTTTCTTTTAATTACCCTCAAAATATCCTTCACGATAATGAAAAAAAATTCTGGTAAAGCTTGAGATCTTAATATAATCGACTCGTTAGGAAGCAATCAGATTAAAAAAAATATATGCCCGTGTTGTTTAAATGGAAAATAGAAAATCACTATGAACCACCTCTTAGTATTGATATTAAGAGTTCAAACTTTACCAGAATTTATTTTTTATCATCGCAAACCATATTTTCAGGGTAACTAAAATTAAAAAAAAATATTTTTTTGTGCACCCTACTGAATATTATGCATATAATAGTATTTTTGTAGCTTGAATTAAGCTTATGTTTAGAACTTTGAATAAGAAGACTAAGGAAGGAGCATATCAAAAATCTTAGGTACATCGCGATGGGCCTCAAATATGGCCGACTTAAATTCCGGTTTATCAGTGTCGTTCTAATTTTATTTAAAAAATGTAAAACTATGATGTAGGGTAGACGTGGGGTAGACTCAATAATTTGTTTTATTTTACGTTGTGAGTAAATGTTGGTAGTTATTAAAATTGTTATAAAAATATATAATTCTAATAAAAATAGATAAGTTTATAATAAGTATTTATTAACACAAACATCCGATACGCTACTGCAGCAGGTAAGTCAAATTAACGTATCTAAATTCTTTGACATCTAATCTTTGACAAGTAATAAATAAAAGCTAAAATGCAAGAAAAATATATAATTTAGTTAATTTAAGTGAATTTCATAAATGATCGGTTTACTACACGTATGTATATTATATAGTCACTTACTAGCGAAAAGTTGTTCCATTATTTCACTCAGTTTTTGCCGAGATTTTACCGCACGCTACACAACCAACTATTTTAGAGTCTTTTTCGATAAATCGCGATAGTGTCACTGTTAATTTAAGTTCTGCCACAATTTCCATCTAGATTTACTACCTTTATACAACTATCAGTAGTAGAATAAATAATAAATAACATAAAATAAGCTCCGTAAAGACTGACAAATCCACAAAATTTCAAATCAAATTCAAATGTGTCAAATGAATCGTCAAACAGAACTGTCAAGGATCCCCACCCTAGTGAGCTTTTTCCGCCCACCATGCATGAATACATGGATAGCATTATGCTCCTTCCTTAGTCTTCTTATTCAAAGGTTTAGAAGTATTAGAAGGGTAAATAAAGGAATTTAAACAATCAGAAAAAAATTATTATTTTACATTATCTAAAATGGTAACAAGCATAGGGTGATTTACAAAATTGACCGAGCTGTACAGTGATGAAAGTAAAATAGAGCGAAATATTTGAATTAATCATGTTTTGGGTATATATTTGATGATTGCAAATTGTGGATGTCCCTTGCCACATACATATTGTTTTGTGCAAAATTGCAGTATATAATATCACACTTATAGCGATTTTAAGGCAGTTTTACACTGGATATTTGTCAGTTTAATATTAGGATGTATAGCTTAAGTTAATTGTGATCTGTGACAATTGTCCAATATAAATGAAAGCCTCGGTAACATTTAACATAGGCAGAGACTACTTCCGATTTCTTGTAACTAAAAGATGACTTTGTAACTATACTCGTTGTGCGTGCGTTTTAGCACATACAACCACCCTCAGAGTCTTGCTGGTTGTTTTGTAGTTGGGGCTGAGTTTGGAGATCAACAGCTGAAAAACACTGATTAAGGAAAATCTCATTTTTTTGCACTATTAGCACAAGCACAACGAACAGCCATTACAAAAAGCTACGTACTGAAATGAAAAGCAAATTTCATTGTGTCACTGACTTTATTTATACAAATTTAATATGCTAATGACTACCATACAAGCCCATATAGAAAAAAAAATCAAATAAAAATGTAACAAGACACACAAATAAGTTTACTGTGATTTTAACAACCAAGATAAAAATGCTGCACAAGAAATTGAATTTTGAAAATTATCTGTTTACTGGACAAAAATAATTAAAAAAAAATTTGAGAGCTAGAATTTGAATTTAAAAAAAATAGCGATAAGAAATTAGACATGCTGGATCAAAAATGCATTTCGGTGAATTATTTATTTAAATATTTATTGTTAAAATTGTACATAAAACTTCCTGTTTTCTCATGAGGGAGCCAATGGACTTGCTTGGTTCTCATTTTAATAAAAAAAGAATTAGCAACCAAAAGAATTATTTCATATATACAAAAATCAATACATATTGCCAATCTATAAAATGTGCAGGTGCAATTTACTGGGAATTATTTACCATGGCCTTTGAAAACTTGACTGAAAATTAGTCATACTTTGTATTAATAAGAGCACTTATGCATTTAGAAAAGTTTTAGTTTAAATTTAGGCGGATTTATCCTAGAGATTGTGTTATTATCTTTTATACACTTAATCTAGGTACACACGTACATTATATAAATATAAATACTTATATTTTAAGTTGATAAATAAATCTTTTAGATTGGTAAAACACTTAAAAATAAATAATAATCGTCCTAATAATTCATTAGAATATTTAAATGCGTCTTTTAAGATAGTAATACTCACAGTATGAGAATGAGGCCATGTGGACATTTGTAACTGATTTATCTAATCATATAAAAAGTGTTCTAAAAAAGTTATAAATATTTCAAAAATTTTGAGCAATAATTGGGCACTCAGTGATAAGTGGGAATCTGATAAATGTAGGATTTAAGCAGAATGGACGTAATTTTTAAAAGCTCACTTAAATAATTACAAATAAAGCTTTCATAAATATTAATTGTAAGCTTGCATTTTACTAGAGTATTGCACAAAATGTCACTGTTCAATTATTGCTTTGTTCAGCTCTTTGCAGGAATAAATTAATATTACATTATTTAAAAATGTAATTTGAGAATTTGCTTCATAAAGCAAAATGCCACTGACTTATACTTTCAAATCAATCAATCTATAAATAACTTAAAATATAAAGGCAACAATGTTAAAAAAAAAATAGAAAAAATATTTTTACAAAAAAAAAACATTTACAGTTCAAAGCATGGATAGGTAACATAGATCTAAGTCAACATGCACAGTTTCCATCTGGATCCTGGACTTCATTGGGTGTGTCTTTCAACACAACTTCTTGCACTAAAAAAATGATTAAGGAAAATAAAAGAAAAAATTAAATAAACCAGAAGAATGCAATAAATCTAGTCGAGTTCATGCGAGGGGCTTTAAAAATGCCATGCAGCACAAAACAAGTAAAATAAAGGATACTGTCCTCAGGAGGTTTATTCTCTGTTGAATCCATACCAGGTAGAGCTGCTGCCACACGCCTAAACAACTGTTTAACATTATATCCAGCTTTAGCACTGGTTTCAATAAACATAACATTGAGTTCCTTAGCCTTTCTTTCCCCTTCTTCCGTACTAACTTGTCTTTTATCAGATAAGTCGGTTTTGTTGCCCACCAACATAATGATGACGTCGCTACCTCTTTCAGTCCTTACGTCGTCGATCCATTTTGAAGTTTGGTGAAAGGAATTAGCATCTTTAACATTACAGAACAATTATAGATAAATCCAGCCCCTATAAATTTGACAACATTTAGTAAAATACTTACTAGTTATATCATATACTACAACAGCTACAGTAGAATCACGAATATAAGAGGGAATTAATGATCTAAAACGTTCCTGACCAGCAGTATCCCATAATTGCAGTCTTACAGTGCGATCTTCTAGATACATTGTTTTTGATAAAAAGTCTATTCCAATAGTAGCCTATTAAAAAATAGAAACAGAACTCTTTCAATTAAAGCATTGACTGCATACTTATTTATAGTAAAAATATATTATTTACTGAAAGTAATATGATGTAGTAAAACTAATAATACCTGATACGTGTTATCGAAGCTATCGTACATAAACCTTGTGATGAGGGAGGTTTTTCCCACTGAAAAAAGAATACTTCAGTTATATGAATGTTTTTAAAGATTCTGCATAATATCTCTTTAAATTAAATCTCATATTATGATGTTAAATATGATTTGCCATGTACGTGTGTCCATATTTATGTTTGAAAATGTGTTCTACATAGAATATTAGGATAATTCATACTAAAAAATGGTGTATAATTAAAATTACAGGCATAATAATCTACAGTTTTTAAGAGACAGATAAATTTTACATGTTTGTTCTAAATTTCTGTCTCTATATTAAGGTCTATAACCTGCTGTAAAAGGAGTCATGTAATGGTTTATTTCGATGAGAAAAATATGAATTTATGATGTTGTTTAATGAAATATAAATATATTAACGCCATCGATTTAAAAAATAGTTTAACACAAAAAGAAAATCATTTATTGATCATTTCGACTACGCCTGCAATGAAAGTTTACAACTCATCAAGAAATGTCAAAACTTACCACTTTGTTCTCCTAGAAAAACCAACTTAAATTTTCGCAAGGGATTTCCAAAATCGCCGGACGTCGACATCCCGATGGCTAAATTTTGATAAATATTTTTCTATTTTCTTTAGCAGACCGGATAACTAAAAACTATTTTATCTCAGAACGACACAGCTCCCTACCACTAAATATCGTCGTGTCTTTTTATTGACAGATGATAATGACATGACTCATGACACATGACATGATAAATTGTCAAACGCTCTCTCTATTAGTTGTCATTAAATTTAATAGAGGGCTCCACAGGTGTTACTCAGTGGTGTTTTCGTTTTTATGAAGTTTTTGTTTAATTTTACCATGTGATGGATGGTTAAATATAATACTTACACTTGTATTTGTTAATTATTGTCAGCTACAAATCCTATGTAGTGAATTTAATAGTCTATAGTACAGTTTTAATTAGCCTTGTTCCATATTGTAATCTGCTAATGTTTAATTTGAAAAACATAATGCGCGCCTCTGATTGGTAAAATGCCCCAGCAGCCATTTTGTTGGTAGCCCATTAACAAACAGTTCCGTGTTTTAAGCTGGTTTAATTGTTTATCAGATAAGGATTTTTAATTCTATTTGAAAAAAGTATAATTATATACGTAGCCAAGATGTTGATCGTCAGCAAAGAACATTTCTAAGGCTTCAGTAATAAAAATCGTCGTTCAATATTTGAAATAGCATTATACCGCCCTACTCCCAAATATTGCTTTGGTTAGTGTATTCGTGCTTTCTACCCAGTTCAGTTAAGGCTGCGGTGGTACTCATAAATGATTTGTATCAATTTTCATCTGAGAATTTAGTGCGCTATTCACCGAGAAAATTGCAAGTACTTTGCTGGAGAGGAAAATATAATAGATCTAACCTTATCAAAGTTGGTACTGCTGAGACATCGGTTTTTTGACCAGAGACGTCTCAACCACCGATTTGGGGATTTCTAATAAAATACTGCACACGTAAGTAAATCAAAAACTTATTAAGTTACTCAAGCTTCATATCTCTCAAATGCACATTTATCAGATCAATTTATTTTTGAGATATTCTCTCTTCCTTACTGTGAACATCTCAACATAAACAAACATCCTTTTTTGTACAGACTATTCATATATTAACATTTATAAATAGAAGTAAACGTAATTTACCTCTTTACATGCCTTATAAATGTTTATTTGTATATGAGATAGGGGCTTTAATTTTTTCTAGAATTATTTAAAAAATTACTTAGATGGATAGCTACATTAGCACCTTTTCCTCAAAATCATCAATATAGAAGTGTGGTTAATATTAAGCTTTGTTTCCATTCAACAAATATTAAAATTGAGTATACTTGTGATTCAATCATAAATAATTATTTTATAATTAGCATTGTTTTTTTTAAGTAGTTCTTAAATGTAGATACAGGTATGGTCTTTTGAATGGAAAATTGTTTAATTAAAGCATATATAAAACGTTTAATTAAAACTGTAGAATATTATAGAGCTTCTCACATAACTATCATAATTTGAAGACCCTCTACTTATTATTACATCGATAATTTAAGATTTGAGATAATCTTAAAACAGCTGAAAGAATAACAATTAATTATAGAAAAAAGTGTACCTCAATGCAATACTATTTTTTTGTTATCTAATTGCTGCTAGTCTTTTAGGAAATCATTTAGTTTGATCATACATGAAAAATATTCTTCACTCGTCAGATTAGGAAAAGGTTAATCAATGGGTAATCACTCATTACTCATAGATCTATTAATTTTTTGAAGTCTTAAGATATCACTTAAAATGGTCGTGATTTAAAATATGTCCGTTCGTTTGAAACCAAGAATCTATAATCAATTACCCACTCATATTTAAATTATATGAGAAAATGGCAATATTTCTAGAAATCATGGAATTTCTGTACATATATATGTTTTGATTCATCCAAAAAAACTGTATTACGCATTTAAATGATGAAATTAATCATGATTTATTAATGTTGTACTTATTTGTATTCTATTTGAAACGAAATTCCAATTTAACAAATTTATGGTTTGGTTGTTCATATCACAGTACACCCTATTGCATTATTTATTATTTGTTATAAATAAATATACCTATATTATTTAAGTTATATTTACATATTTTGTTGAAAATTGTATTCAATCTTTGTATTTTTTCTGTTACCGCGGAGAAAAATAAGAAGTCAAGTGAAGCATAATAGATTCCGTAAAAGCTTTTTGTTCGTTTTGTTTCTTTTGAGAAAAGCAAGTTTACCTAAATTGAATTTTCCTATTTTCCGATAAACAACAAGTCTCCAATATCTCAATTACTGTGTTTCAAGGTTTCCCAGCCAGTCAGGAACTCTTCTTTTACAGAGAAACTCTGCTTCTCAATTATTAAGAACCGCTGATAAAGCAACAGAATCTCGATAGATAAATTAATTTTAATCCCCAAACTGTTTAATTGAAGATTGTTTTTATTAGTTTCTTATATTTATTTGTAAGCAGTTTTATTTTGAATGAACATAAACCACATCTCAAAAATACCTGTGAGATTTGTGAATTAGTCTGAAAATTATGTGTCTTTTTTGCCTGAGTAACTCTGAGATTTGAGATTACTCATAAAAGTTTTAAATAATTTGTCATAGTTCTGACGATGTGTTTGTTAATCACCGAGACCTTACAGATCTATTGTGTGTTCCCCTTTCTTGAGTTATAACGAGTTATAACTCATCACACAGCCTCAGGGCTTTAATAAAAGCCAGTATTTGAGACGGCTCCAAGTGAGTAGTACCAAAGTTAATGGAACGAACGGTTGTCGTCTCGGCGCACTCAGTGATTAGGTGTTCTGGTGTTGAATCTGCGTTCGCCGTTCTTTCTTTTATTTTATATTAGCTCCAATCTACTGAGATGTTCGTTGAGGAGGTAATGCCCTTTTAAAAATCTCGTGGCAAGCCGCAGATTGTTCTTACTTTTTCTCGGTCGCAAATTCTGAGAAATTTCTTCGAGTGTCTTAAACCGTTGGAGGATTCCCGTTCCAGGTGAGAGATAGAATCTTCCAGGTTCTTGAGTTCCGATTCAAGTTGGTTTCCACTTGGAAAGTAGAACGGTTCTGGCCCATTTAGTGGAGTGTTCGCTCCTTTTCTAGCTAGATCGTTTGCTTTTTCATTGCCTTCTATCTTCTATCCCTTGGTGAGCTGGCACCCAGAGTAGGAGGACTTTATTTTCTTTGCCTAATTTGTTCAGCTTCTCTAGGCATTCTTTGACCAACTTCGAATTGATGGTTACTGAGTTGATCGCTTTTAGTGCTGCTTTACTATTGAATAAGATGGCTATTTCCTGTTTTCGATAGTTCTTATCTAAGATAAATTGTACCCATCTTTCGATAGCCTTGATTTCTGACTGAAGAATGCTGCTCCAAACCCATTGGTTCGGGGTATTTAGTTTTGTGCTCAAATATTCCTATCTCTGTGCCTGCTTTGGTTTTGGAAGCATCAGTATACCACGTTATGGTATGGTCTTTTATATGCTGAACAAACGTTTCTCTCTTCCAATCCTTTCTTCTATTGCTCAATACTACGGTGAGGTGTTTCTCACAGTTACCCATTCTTGGTATGTCACCCACTGGGAGTTGGAGGATTGGAATTTTCTTTTTTGAGGGTTTTCCAAGCCCCTGACCTGACAATTCTCCTAGTTACAAACGATTTATTCATAGGTAGTTATTTCTTGACGAAATCTTATCAATCTTTTCAGAGATTATCATTAGAGTGTCGTCAAAAATATTTAACTAAAATCTACACGAGATTAGATAATTTGTATTTTTAAAATAGATAAGTTTGTTTATGTTTTATGTACTTATATTTTGTATCTTATTTTTTTTAAGTTAAAAATTTATAACACCCTGCTTGATAAGCGGAGCTAGAACTGATGCTAATAACAAACGAAAAAGTGTGGGATTGATTTAAAACGTAATTGTTCTATAGATAAAAGTTATTAAAAATTATCACAAAGCTATTTCAAATGGGTGTTAATGGACAATTGAAAACTGAGCGGATGGCCATATGTGTGTTTGTTTTTATTGACGTCATTGTGGCTAAAAACAACGAATGCCAATGTTTACCGTAGTAATAGATACACAGGTTATTTCATAAAAGTGATTGCTTATACACTGGCTCGTCCAGTTCAGATTTTTTGATTGATCGTTTGATTGTGCTGGGAAAACAAGTTATTTTTTAACGGCGCGGCGGTATATATTAATTGGATGATATCCAATACCGAAAAGGATCTACGATTTAAATATTAGTCTGCTGATTACGTTGATAGTTCAGCCAGTTTTTTATGCTTAACAAAATAATAGCACTTCTAATTTTTATACAGAGCCTTTTATTTTTATTATGTTTCTGTTTATACAATACTCCTTTAAACTACACCCTGTTCTTGTTTTATCTTATTTGAGATAAGTAGGTACTTTGGAATATTATTTGATGTACGAAATACTTTCAGTTCATTTGGAAAATTTGGAATTTTGGTAACAGTTATCTCCAAAACCTGGTATTTTGGGGCTAAACTTTTTTAGGGCTTACGAAATGTAGATTTTGTTTATCAGTTTCAGAGACATGTTCCGTTATGGTAAACAACTTAAGAGATGTGTTTTTGGAGTTGTCTGTCAATCAATATTTGAAATTATAATTATAAGCCTCCTATTCTCATGAATATTAATTATTGTTATAATGAGTTAAAGTCAATCACTTTTTTGGTGGCCTTAATTTTTGGAATACATCACAATTTCCTAAGACAATCAAAATGGGAGGCTTCAAGATCTGTTCCTGCAATTAGTATCTTTTAACATGTAGGCTCTCTAAGATCCAAATTTTTTATTATCAAAATCACACAATTTCAAATTTTCTGTCAAGAATTTGTTTTATGTTAACTATGGAAGCAGGTGAACCCTTTGTTGTTTTAATTAATTGTTTAATAACGAATATTCTGAGGAAATTTTGCCGAAATAACGGATTTAATTAATTTTTCCTGCCTTGCTTATTCCGTGTGTAAATGTATAAAATTGAAAATTATATAGCAGAAGTAATGTAGGTATATTTTAAAATCAAAGAGTGTTAATAATTATTGGTAAAAGAGTGAGTTTCCTTTATTGTAATTAACGTAAAAATGTAAAAAGTTTTTTTGCAAAGTCAAGACTGTTTTATAATTTTATCGCCCAGGCAGACCAATTTGAATGATTTTTTTATGAACATTATACGTAGTGGAAAATATCAGACGTCACCGAATTAGTAAATATTGAATCTGCTGAATATGATTAAAACGATGATTTAATGTAATTTATGATGACGATATATTTAATATAAAGTATGTTTTATTATTTTATTGTATTTTTTAACAATAGCACTTGTTTGTGTGTATGTGCCCGAGATTAAATAAATATCTTGATATATTCTCTAATAATAAACCTGTTTAATTAATACACCTGAAAGGTATTGATGAAAATTATAATATGACTGATGTTTATACGAGTTTAATTTTATAATTGAAACGTATTTTAAAACTATATTAGTAAAAAGAAAAAGGTTAATTAATTAACTCAATTAAAATAATATTTTAATTATATTAATGATATAAATAAATAGTATTATTATCTATTAATATATGCTTTTATTTCATAATTTTTTAGCTTCATAAATAAACTTACATACGGCAATGAAGGCATTAATAATGCAAATTAATTAATAGATTAAAAATAATCTATGTGCAGCATTAGCTCCGCTTCTACATTTTTGCTCTGTGGTGTCGATGTCAGTATGACAGATGCGCAAAAATGGCTTCCTGTTTATTCAATTTTCGGTGAATTTCCAGTAATTTACGGTTTTTTCTCGGAAAAAGTGATAGTGAAGTATTTTTTCTCTATGTATTTTACAGAAGAACCTTTTCTGAACTTCTTAAGCTTGTAAGTACGTTTGTATAGTTTTTATTTATATGTTTTTATCTCGCGTAAAATGTTTAGGCCATTTAATAATGTTTTATAACAATTTAAAGTTTTAAGGTGCTTAGAAAAATAGTAAACATAGTGATAAAATTATGAATATTTCAGGATTTTGGTTTGGTTTGGAAATGTTTTTTTATAACCCTTGTTTCTGAACAATTTTTGATGATATTATAAGTTCGTTTATATCTAGTACCGCATTCGTAGTCCGATGGCCAAAAATGAACATATTTCCTTATTCTTCTACCATTTTTGTTAGTTCATAAGAGCAATATCGCCAAAATCGGTAAACATGTTCAAAATCGCTAAGTTTTATGACTATATATATGGAAAAACAAGTAGTATGAATTTTTCAAGTTGCTTACAGTGATAGAAAAGAGAGATAAAAATATCACAATTTCGGAATTTGTAGGAAATTCTATGTAGATTCAGAATATATACGTCGTTGAAGGCTTAGATACCTTGGTTTTGTGAGAAAATAAATTTTTTGGAGCCTTGTTTTGAGCTATTTTTTGATGGTGCACAGTGGGCAAAAATCCAGAAGTATGTTGCAAAAATTCTTTTATTGTACGATTTCATTCAAATTTGGTAAAAACATTCTATGCCAGTAGCCCGTGAACCCAGTTAGTTTTGGCTGACTTGAGATTGGCTGGGGGTGGTGGGGGGATTCATAAAATGGAAAAATCATCTTTTGACTAATACAGCTACCAAAATGCGGTAAGAATATTTTACATTTCACTAAATTATACGATTTTTGGCAGAGCCAAGATGAAACAGACAAATATTGAGCAATTATTACTCCTCCGGCATATACAGGGTTTATTCGACGTTTTCGAAAAAAGTGTCTTTGAATAAAAGTTTAATGGTCTGGAATACATTTTTCAAAACAGTCTTCTTTGCATATACCGGGTGCATTAGAAATCCTGCGGCCGAACTTTCTTATTTCAAATTAGTACCCAATTTTTTTTTTTTTATTTTCCTCTAAAAATTCTAACTACTTTTATGTAGCATATCCTATACCTAATTTGAAATAAGATAGTTGAACCACGCCCAGATTTTTTGAAGCACTTTGGATATGCGAAATAGACTTTTTTGGCAAATTTATTCAAAACCACTTTCATTTGAGACAGTTTTCGGAAACGTCAAATAAAAAAGATAAAGGAGGTGTCAATGTATAAAAGAAAACCCTAAGTATACTAATCCAATCGAACTTTTATTCAAGATTGTTTGTCATTTGAATAAGTTGGGTCTCTAATAATACCAGACAATATGTGAACAATATACCACCTACTATTTACTGATATTTTGTTTTATAACAGCTGGAAGCAATGGTCACGAAGTGCACATTTTTAAATCTGAAAGAAAAATCTGTCAAAATTTGTCAATTTGTCAAAAAATGTCATTTGACATTTATGACATACCTCTTCGGAAATCTTGAGAAAAATTACGTAACTTTATATTTCAAGTTCTTCTCTAGCTACTATAACAATTAATTTATGAGAAGTATCCATATAAAGGATCTTACTATACACATACGCATGGAGACATACGCTTCCAATAAGTTTAAAGTTGCGATTTTTTGCGATTTTTTTGACTTAACTTTTCTAAGATAGAATATCTGCCACTCTCAAAAAAACCTTAAATGATTATTTTCTACTTTGACCTTTACCTAGTTTTTATCCAAAAAATCAAAATAAAAGATCCTTTTTTTTATCTTGACATTAAATTTACCGCAACCGGGAATCCACGTAAAACACATTATGACAATTTCACAATAATTATCGACAGCAAGCTAAGGTCGTCCGATTCAATTGTTATAATACTGTGTCACTTGAATGCAACGCCTACTATTTAAAAAATTGTACAAAAAAGGCAGTTATTGGACACAAATTAACTGAAAATGTAGGTTTTGCGCAAAGTTCGTTTTACGGCCCCTCGAAAGAGACTCCGAATATGTTTTTTTGTTAGTTTTATGTGGTTTCCTCTTAACTAATATGTTTCCAATCTAATGTTATTGCCATAAATGCTAACTGTTGATGTTATTTTTTGCAACTTGGTTTGGACATATTGCCTACTGTGTGGTGGTTAAAACGTCTTCTACATCCATTAGTGATCTCGTAAGACTACAATAGCCTATATTTTCTTATTTTACACTTTTTAGTTAGTAAATAACAGCCGTTTTAACAAAATCGGTGGCATAACAAAAATCGCCAATTTTCACGACTATATACTATGTATAGAAAAAATTCAAAAAGTGGCCAATTTTTGGCTATTTTTTACACATTTTCAAAGGTCTTAGAAAGATAGTAATCAAAGTCATAAAATTATGAAAATTTCAGCATGTGTAGCAAATTTATGTAGATTCAGAATATATACACCTTGTAGGCGTAGATATTTTGTTTTTGTGAGGAAAATAATTTTTAGGATGGTGGTTACAACGTCTCCTACATCCATTACTGTTCTCGTAGGACTACAATGGCCTATATTTCCTTCTTGTATGACGAAAGTCTCCAATTTTATAAATAAATATGTATGGAAAAATAAATAATATAATATATAAACCTTTAAAACGCCTTAAATGCTTTGGTTTTATTAGGAAGCCCTGTTTTTGATTAATTTTTGATAATGGGTAAAAGTTTCATGTTACTTTGTAGGTAACTGGCATATTGTGTTGGGACCGGGGTTCTTTTATCTACGCATTGGAGCTATTATATTTAAATATTGACAAGAACACGGTGATATTTGCCAATTTTGGCAGAGCCATCGCGCGATCTTCGCTTCTTTCCATTCTCCATTGCCCTCTTCTTCCGAATTTGACGGACAGACTTGCGCCTAAATGATTTCCAGTAGGATATATCCTAGGAGGATCGTTCCGTTCTTGCATTTGTTGTACAGTCCGGTGCTTATGGCCGTTCGTACACGGACTTGTTGCATCTGAAAGCACGTAGCGAGTGGTGGTTGGTCATTGGCGCTCTTCTAGCAGTCCGAGGACCATAGCTGGGCACGTATTTAACGATGTTTCCGGTTTGAATATTTCCATGAAGTGTCGTGAGTACGTTACCGTCTCGATGAAAAAAGTTTTTAAGAAAGTTAAAATTCTGCCGGTGATGAAAACCCGAAGAAGAAGTACCACGGTATCTATAATAACTTTCGCACTTTCTGTTAACTTAATTATATTACAGAATATGTTATCTGCATAAATATGTTTCGTCCTTTTCTTTTTTCTGCCAATCACCAACAAAAAAAAAGTTTCAATAAAGTTTCTTTGTATCTATCTGATTATTTTTTAAAATTATATTTTTTATATTTTCCTGCATAGTTTCTTTTTTTCTGTGTTCTTATCGGATGTGATTGATTGCATTATAAGAATATTTTTTTTATTTTATTTTTCTACACAGCTTTCGCTTTATAGAACTTTTTCGAGAATTTTCCTACAGTTTTTTTAACTACCTGAGATTGTTTATTTGTTTCTCTGTGTACTGGATTTGATTTTTCTATTTTTTTTTTATTTAAAAGGTTTTTGATCTACCAAGAGAAGACCAAAGATTTTTTTTCAATGTTCATAGAAAGTTTTATATATAAGATTCTACTTTTTAGCCTTTCTAGGCACTTAAGAGTAAAAAATCTTTTTGAACTACTGAAAAGAAAAACCAATTTTTTCTATGCCCCTATAGAGTTATTGACATTTGATATAGAAATAATATGATGATCTATTCTAATGAAGCTGTAAAAATATATAATTTTTGAAGTTCATATATCCGCTTATATTATTTATTTTTAATTTGAATATAAATAAGCGTAGTTTATTCAGGCCATTTTTAACAAATATGCAAATAAAGTGCATTGTGAACCATACAGGGATACATTTAATGTTTATTTTTTGACATCTATAACCCAGCAGTGTCTATTTTAACAACGCATTTGAAGTCGCATTCAATTTGAAGCACTTTTTACAGTACAGACACAGACATAAATTGATAAGTAACATTTTTTTTTCATTTGGTAATAATCTTCTAATAGGTTTATATTTTTTATGTCAATTTTTATCCAATACGTCCATCATTTTGATCTCTAGCGTTTTTTTGCTTTTATTAAGTCTGACATTCTAAGTTCGTTTTATTAAATTAATTTTCTTGTTCATTTTTGATTTGTCAAAACAAATTACTTGTTGTGTATTGCATGATTAGGTTAGTAAATATTGATATTAGTCTTGAATTGTTTTCTATATTTCTCCCATGGTCGTAGTTAGCAAATATTTTAATATTGATTTATATTTAATAAAATAACAAAGAATATACAGGGTCCAGCAATAGTGCGTCGGGCATCTGTGGCTCCTAGAATAAAAAACTTAGGAATTTTGTATAAGTGCAAACCTAAAGTATGTACTAGAATGAGAATGAACTTCTACAGAGTGGCTGGAAAAAGTGTGAGTGGATCGGGATAATTTTTTTTAAATGGAACACCCTGTATATTATTGCATCTTTGGCTTCCGTTCTTATCACTTTATATAATATATTTTTTCGGCCTTTTTTAAAAAAATTATTAAAAATGTAAGAAATGTCCTGAAATCCAAACTATACTAGGTGTTTATCATAGTTGGTCTGTACTTATTTTCCTATAAATATCGTAATCATAAACCACACAGGGTGTTCAAAATTCTATGCCAAACTTCTAAATATGTAATATGATATTACGAATATCCGCAATACCGTTAAAAAGTTAGAAATACTTTAAATACAAAAAATGTTAATTTTTTAATTCTCCACCTAATAATCCTTCTAATCCTCCAGGAATAATATACAGGGTGTTCCATTAAAAAAAACAAGAAAAACTATTTGATATTTTAGAAAGTTTGGCATATAAATTGGACACCCTGTATGGTTTAAGACTACTATATTTATAGGAAAGTAAGTACAAACCATCTATAGTAAATACCTAGTATAGTTTTGATTTCAGGACATTTCTTGTATTTTTAATAATTTTTTTAATATAGGTTGAAAAAAAAAATTATATACTTAGTAATATCTATCGAAACTATCAAAACATATTTAATAATATCTTAGGATTATATATAAAGTGATGAGAACGGAAGCCAAAAATGCAACAATATACAGGGTGTTCCATTTAAAACGATCAGCCCGATCAACTCACACTTTTTTGAGCCACCCTGTAGAAGTAAAAATATTTTCCTGAAATACATCCTAGTACATACTTTAGGTTTGCACTTATACTATATCATAGGAATATAAATTCCTATGCTTTTTTAGGTTATTCTGGGAGCTACTGATGCCCGACGCATTATTGCCGGGCACTGTATAAATAGATACGTTTTTTGGTATTAACAATCAATCTGGTATTTTGTAAATCTGGCTTTATTAATTTCAAATAGATATTGAAATAGCAAACGTTATTTTTATATTTGTTCAATTGCCTCTGGTCCAATAATCCGGATTTCATATAAATTCTTATACTTTCATCTAATGAAAACTGACTATTTCATTTAATTTTGATCAAATTATTTTTTTTCAATTACTAAATGCTTTGTTTGAGTATTTATTTTGTTTATTAGAACGGACCTTTAAATTTGATGGGAAAAATATACATCTAGGAACAAAATTAAAGCAATCTGGAATATTTATTTAAGATCGTATGGTGTGATTTATGTGTTCTATAAAATCCACAATAAAACACGTTTTATCACATTGAAGAACCAATTTTCTCAAGTTCCGAAAAAATAGAGGATCTTTAATAAATGTTTGGTTTATCCATGATTTTATATTTATGACTATATCGTAAAATTCTTTACAGCCAGAATTGTGATATTTCATCTGGTGAGATGAAAGAACCAGCTTACACAAACAAATGTTGTACTTTGTATTCCAGTGTTTTTAATTATTATTTTTGAAAACGGAGAAAGATGCCCGATTTTAATACTCTTTTTCTGGGCTTTAAACCATTTCGCTACTAGAAATTAAAAAATTTCGTACATACCGGGTGCGGTTCAAAAGTCACACCTATAACTTTTTCATTTCATTACAGAACGAACATTTAAAATTCAAAAGTTGTAGTCATTTCCGGTGAAACAGGAAGTGGCCGAAAACAATTGAATACGTCAATCATTCCTAATTTATGTCATATACTAACATACCAAATCTCGTTTTTTATCTGAAAAAATAAAAAGGGATGAACCACGTTTGAGACGCACCCGGTATATGTAAAATATAAATCAAAATTTTACAAAGCTATTTGTCCGTTTACGATTTAAAATTTACAGCCTATTAAATATTGATTTTATTTGAGGATATATTTTTTATACCTTTTTATTACAGAATCTTGTATATTGTCACTGCACCTATAATATTCTTTATAGCAAATTTTAGGGCATATAAAAATTTATACATTATTTTTTATATTTATTAATCTAAAATTTTAAATACAGTAATGTAGTAAAATAGTCTGGTGTGTTAGGAGAGCAATTAATAATTTACACTAGGCTTCCAATAAAAATCTCTGAAGCAAGAAAAAAGGATAAGCCTCAATTAAATGCTATCCACTTATTTGCTACTTGTAATTAATCTTTGTACTGTTAGCAGGAACAGTCGGTGTATTTCTGTTTAACTTTAACCAACTCGTGTAGAAGTATTTTTGAAGGGTTTAAGTTAAAGTCGGATTTAACAAGCGTCACTTAAACTCATAAACAAGCGTCACTTAACTCATGTCACTTAAACTCAAGCGTCACTTAAACTCATGTCACTGTCACTCATAATCATTGATTTTTAACATAATTGCTTTACTTAATCCGTTTTATATTTTTTACTATCATTTTTACGTACTAAATCAGTGTTCCAAGAACTTTCTAAAGCACCATGTATTTATAATTTATATACACCACTGTATTTATCTATTAAATTAGTATATGCTTTATACTAATTTAATAAATAAATTCAGTGGAAGTTTTTTTGAGTTCTATTCTAATATAGGCAGAGGGTTGGGTAGGTAGAAAATTTTATATTTTCTACACCAACTAATTTTTTACATTTTTTACACCTCCAAACGTAGAAAATTAGTTTGGTACATTGTAAGCCTTTTTTGAGTTTATATTTATTTCAAATACTTCAGTCACAACGATTAGTACAAGAAATATACTATATCTCTAATTGTTATTTATTATTTAACAAATGGATAGTATATAGTATGTCAAAAAAAGGCTTAACTATTAATTTTCATATTATTTTAAATTGATATGTACAACGGGAGGATGCGTGACAATGACTGTTGTGTCATTATAATTCACAGACATGTATTTTCTGTCATTTTCTAGAAGTCGTCTGACGAAATCTTCCTTTATCTGTTACACACTATAGTCGAAGTTTACAGTAAAAGTTTTCAATAGTAAGATCAAAGTTTACAGAATAATTCTATGTAATTATGTGAACTTCTGTGTAAGACTTTTCTGTACGGTCTTCAGAATAAACAGAAAAAAATATTCTAATAGTGTTCAGATAGATTACTGTCTCTTATCTCCAGGGAGTGACAGACTACCGTCACAGAATAGAGAGATACCGCGCGCACACATATTACAGTTTTAACACTTATAGAATTTAAAGAAAATAGAAAGGAAGAAACCTCTACAGTGAAAAAAACCGCTTTAAATATACAAAATTAATTTTGTACCTGTTCTCACATTTTTATACATTTTCTACGTAGCGTAGAAAATTAATTTTCTACGCGTCTTTACCCAACCCTGAATATAGGATATTTAGTCATTTTATGGTACAATTACTATTAAAGATATGTAAGACTTTCGACGGTATTTTTCCATATCGAGCGTCTGGCCGAGAAACCTTTAAAAACATATTAAATTTTATTCTTATAAAAATTAGAATTTTCAATTTTTTTTTCGACTTGTATTGATTTTTTACCGAAATTGGATCATTTTATCATCCATCTACCAATCATAGTGACGTTTTTTGTTGTTTTTTTCAGTTTGTCAGACTGGAGGGGCACGTGCCTTCTTCGGCATCTCCTCCAGACACAGGGACAGCTACACTGGCTCCCAGTAGTTCGAGCCCAGATATGGATGACGTCAGTAGTAAGAGGCAAGCTACAAGGTAATTAAAAATATATATGGATTATATTTGTTTTTTTTTTTTTCGAAAAATTGATCTTTTTTAAGCGTCCTTGTATAGGTCCGGGCTTAAAAATCACTCGTAGTCAAGGTGGTCCGAATTGTATTCGGGAAACTTTGGCAGTATATTCTGCAGATAAAAATAAATAAAAAAGTTCTTATAAATTTATGTCCTAAAATGCTTCGTTTCGGAGATACAGGGTGTAGAAGTTTCATTTTTATTTTTTTTTTCAAATAATTTCTCAGCTAACGCCGATATTTTTATGAAAATTGGTGTTTCGGTATTTTTTGACATGGGAAGTTCGATTTTGATGTTAGTGACTCCTACTTGTAGGGGGCACCACCACAGAATATACACCATACAGAAGCGACAAAGAGCTTTGAATAGCATTGGTCAAATGGGAACTAATTGCGTGACGTCACGTTTGACATCCGTGCGCCTTGAACAGCATTTCACACTGAAAGAAAATTGTTAGATTTTAATAGAAAACGATGAAAGGCAGGTTTATTTAGTTTTTAAAAACTAGAGGGATTTACATCAGTATTTTTATTTAGAATTAAAAATAAATAAATAATTATGAAATATATTTTTTAGTCTTTTATGCATAATATCTAGAAATAATTATACCTGCGGTCGTGAATTTTTTTTGGTGTATAATTCTGTGACGTCACGTTTGACAGTTAACCAGCATTATCCCCTCCTAAAAATTTTGAAGCAAATCTCTTTGTCGCTTCTGTATGGTGTATATTTTGTGGCACCACCAACATATTTTTAGCTGTTTTGAGGAGTACTAACTTTTCGTCTGTAGCTGTATTACATTACTAAGTGAAAAAATATACATTTCCGTCATTTTTTTACGTAAAAAATGTCTCTTGGTAAGAGGTTCTATGTACGAGTAATGGTTCTCAAGATATTTGGAATGGAAATACTCAATACATGTTATAATTGACAAAAATTATGCATGTTGACTGGATTGTTAAAGATTAAAAAAAAAGTTCCCAACTTTATAATTTCAGTGAAATAACTATCTAGTCAACATGTATATTTTTCCGTACTTTTTTGTAAAAAAGTACGGAAATGTTTACTTTTTTACTCAGTAGTTTTATACAGGTACGTTAAAAAAAAGATGTAGGGTGCTTCCTACAAGAAGTTATATTGATATCGAAATCAAATTTCTCATGTCAAAAAACACCCAGACACCAATTTGCATCCAAATATCGACGTTGGTTCAGAATTATTTAGAAAAGACCTCATTAAAAATAGAATTTCTACACCCTGTATCTCCGAAACGAAGCATTTTAGGACTAGTTATCTGCAGAACATGCTGCCGAAGTATCCCGAATAAATTCGAACCACCCTGTATATTGTATAAAGTCTAATTTTTGAAAGAACTTTAGAATCACCCCTCCTATTAAATGTAAATCTTTTACGTGACCCTAAAAATAATTTTAATAAATAATAAATTGGGATCTCAGCAGAATACCTGGAGGACCATGGATGGATACGTCGTTTTTTTTTTAAACGGGGACTTGAGTTTGAGACAACTTTATTATACTATAATGACATCTTTTGAGAGTTTTTTCGGAAAGAATTTGTAATAAGATATGCCGAAGTTCAAAGACTTCCGAAACGAGACAAAAAGCCAGGACAAGGGGAAGTTTACAGGAATATTTTAATAAACAAGTTGTTATATAATATAAAGAGTACCCTGGAGGGTACGTAACATGTAATGATATTCGAAATTGAAATATTGCCATAGGCCATATTTGTGTATGTACTTATTTTCCGTTTTTAAGACAAACAATTTTGAAAACAACGTGATAGCAGCGACATAAATTTCAATCTTTCGTTCAAATATAAACGCTGGGGATAAAAAGGACGACCATTTTCTTGACATATTTAGAAATGGTCTTGTCAAACCGATTTTTGAAATGCTGGACACATACTAAAGCTCTATCTACACATAACGTTTTACCTGTCAGTCTTATAGGATGTGGAATGAGTGGAAGGGGGGTTAATCACCACGAATTTAAGGACCTATTTTGTCCCCTTAATATAATTCATCATACAGTCTATAACTCATCATACAGGGTGGTCCGAGCTGCATTCCGGAAACTTCGGTATCATATTCTGCAGATAATAATCATGGTACAAAGAATACAAGGTATGATCGATAGCGGCTCCAATTTCGTTCAGTTCGCGCATACCACCTGTGACGTCACTAGGAAAATGAGGAATAAATAAAAAATAAAGAAAGTTGACAGGAGATCTGCATTTTTGAGGTTATGGCTCTGGTTATGGTTAAGAATTGTTTATTTTTAAGACTTTTTAGTTCGTTTAATTTAATAATTACTAAAACCAGCAGTTCCAAAAATATATTTAAAAATAATAATTATCTATTAACATGGATTTGGACGATAGGTAAGAATACTGAATTTATTTCTATATTCGGTATAAAATTGTTTATTAGGTTTTTAGTTTGCGATGTTTATGGTAAATAATTTTCATTTTCATTGCCTCTGAATTCACATGAGGACAGAGTTGAGGATATCTATGGAAAAGTAACCACAAGAGGAATTGTTACATCATTTAAAAAATATTGGGAAGTTTATTGTTTCCCATCGAAAAGTAGAAAATGCCAATGCAGATGAACGTATTGTAATTGTGATAGAAGTAATTCTAAGGGTGAAGTTTATTATAATTAGTGGAAGTAATACCAAGGGTGAAGTTTATTATAATTAGTGACCTCTGCTTCTTTTTATATGTAGAAGTTTCTGGTTTTGAGAATAAATCGGTTGAACGACACCCAAAATTTAAAGGAAGTATTTGCATACCCAGAATATGCCCATCAAGGATTATATAGCTCAAATTTCCTTTAATGGTAGGCAATTATTCAATGCAAATTAACTTTTTAAGTGACTAAAATATTAAATAGTTTACAATATGGTATATCACTAAAAATATATTACTTTTAGGTACAATTAGGGCCCGATACATTTCAAAAAGTAGAATATTATTTTATATTAAATGAGGTATTGTACTAACAATCAATTTATATTAATAACGGAGATTAAAAAATAACAGAATAAATAGTTCTTTTTATACTACAAAAATAAACTATAGAATACAACAGTATTTAAAAAAAATAAATAAAAAAGTGATGTTCCGGTCGAGATTCGAACTCCGGTCTCTCGCTTCCTAGCCCGACTCCTTATGCACTGCTCCACAGTAACTTGCTTAGCGATAATTCAATGACGGTATATAAACAAAAAAAACAGGTTTATAACAATATCTTGACGATTTGAAGTGGCGCGCGGAGCGTGCTGACCAATAGCGCCTGTTATCACCTGTGACGTAGCGACCAACCTGCGCAATATCATACCTTGTATTCTTTGTACCATGGATAATAATAAGTAAAAAAGTTTGTATAAATTAAATGTATGTCCTAAAATGCTTAGATTCGTAGATATAGGGAGTTGAAGTTTCATTTTTATTTCGATTTTTTCCAAATAATTTCTGAAGTAACGTCAATATTTAAATGAATATTGGTGTTTTTTGACAGATTGACAGAAACTGGAAGTTTTTTGACAGATTTTGATGTCAATATGACTCCTATTTGTAGAGGGTGCCACCTACATGTGTTTTAACTGGTTTGAAAAGTTATAAACTTATGTATAAAACAACTGAGTAAAAAATATACATTTACGACGTTTTTTACGTAAAAAAAGTCTCTTGGTAAAAATCGCTACGACTAATGGTTCTCTAGATATTTGGAATCGAAATTATCAATACCTGCCATCGACATAAATTAAACATGTTGACTAAATAGTTATTAGACTGAAATCATAATTTTTTTTTGTTTTTGGGCCAAAAGTTCAACAGAAACTATTATCATTTTTTCGAAGAAAAATTTATGATTAATTTAAAAAAAAATAAAAAGTTCCCAAATTTATCATTTCAGTCAAATAACTATCTACTCAACATAAGTTTATTTTTTGTCACTAATGACATGTATTGACTATTTCCATTCTAAATATCTTGAGAACGGTTGCTCGTAGAGATTTTTACCAAGAGACATTTTTTACATAAAAAATCGCGGAAATCTATATTTTTTCACTCGGTAGTTTTATACAGGTACGGACGAAAAGTTATTACTCTTCAAAACTGTTAAAACACATGTAGGTGGCGCCCCTACAAATAGGAGTCATAATGACATCAAAATCATATTTCTCATGTTAAAAACTCCTAGACACCAATTTTCATCCAAATATTAACGTCACTTCAGAAATTATTTGGAAACAATCGAAATAAAAATGAAACTTCTACACCCTGTATCTCCGAAACTAAGCATTTTAAGACATACATTTATACGACGTTTTTTACTTATTTTTATGTGCAGAATATGCTGCCGAAGTTTCCGGAATACAGTTCTGACCACCCTGTATACAGGGTGAGTTTCCTACGTTGTTCTCTATGGGTTTCTCGGAAACTACTGGAGATAGAGACTCGGTTAAATGGGGAAAGAATTGCAGTTTTATGGGGTCATAAATATGCGCCTTTCAGATTTTTCAAAAAGTTCATGGCTTACTAGATATTTCGAAAAAAACAAATTTCGGCTATTTTAAAAATTGCCCCTAACTCCATTATGAGCTATTTTAGACAAAAAGTTTTCAGATAAAAGTTGTAGATAATTACATCCTTTATGAGACTGTGCCCTCCGTTTTCTTCTAAAGCCTGTCATTTTCGACATATGACACAAACATATGTTTTTTTTTAAATGAAAACCATAGTTGGCCATGACTTCATAAAAAGCGTCATTTTTTAAGCTTTTCAGCGATATAAGCTATAATATGTTTTCTTCGAAAAATTACAGAGTTATAGCCAATTCTTATCACTTTTAAACAATTTCACTTAGTTAGCCATGGAAACAAGTTTAATCGTCTTTGCTCTCGGAAATGTGCTGTCACATCCAAATTTTGTAAATTAAAATAAACAAAAATTGTAAATATGAATTTTTCAAATGAAGAAAAGCGTGTAGATACTCCCCCATCAATAGAGTGGTTCCAACATGACTTTTATTACGACCCCAATAAAGAATACCATGCAATCCAATTGAAATTAATCAAGAAAGATCAGAATTGGCTATAACTGAATGTAACTTTTCTTACATGTCTTGAAACCCGTTCTCTAAAAAACGTAACATTCACCGGTTCACGTATCGTCGAAAATGTATGGTCAAGAAAAGTTGAACCAATAATCCTACACGCTTTTCTGCATTTGAAAAATTAATTTTTACAATTTTTGCTTATTTTAATTTACAAAGTTTGGATGACAGCTTCACATTTCCGAGAGCAAAGACGATTAAACTTGTTTCCATGGCTAACTAAGTGAAATTGTTTAAAAATTATAAGAATTGACTATAACTCAGTAATTTTTCGAAGAAAACATATTTTAGCTTATATCGCTGAAAAGCTTAAAAAATGGCGCTTTTTATGAAGTCATGGCCAACTATGGTTTCCATTTAAAAAAATATATGTTTGTGTCATATGTCAAAAATGACAGGCTTTCGACGAAAACGGAGGGCACAGTCTCATTAGGGATGTGATTATCTACAACTTTTATCTGAAAACTTTTAGTCTAAAACAGCTTATAATGGAGTTAGGGACAATTTTTAAAATAGCCGAAATTTGTTTTTTTCGAAATATCTAGTAAGCCATGAACTTTTTCAAAAATCTGAAAGGGGCATATTTATAACCCCACAAAACTGCAATTCTTTTCCCATTTAACCGGCTCTCTATCTCCAGTAGTTTCCGAGATACCCATAGAGAACACATCGTAGGAAACTCACCCTGTATAGGAGGATAAGGTTAGGTTATTTTTTCTCCTCCAACGACAGGGTCTCGCATCTGCTAGAGGAAGACCTGTCAGCCTTACATGTTCTATTACCTAATAACAATGTCATTTTCCTTTGGAAATTGCTAAACTAGTGTTGTAACTAAACTATCAAGTACTCCTGTTTTATGCTTTTTGTTCGATAATATGTTATTCGATTTTTAAAACACCGATTGTTATTTTCAACAAATGTATCTATCTACATCAGATAATAGCCTTTTTTTTGGAAAAAAAAAACATTTTAAGGGGTTCCGTCGGTAAACTTGCTTGTGATAGCATTTCCTGCTACATCCATTTTGTCATGACACAACAGTTTTTATTTTTCCCGACGTCTTCGAAAAAAAATAATTTAACCTCCACAAAGCCGGAAAGGAACATCCAATTCGAAATTATTCTGGATAATACAGAAAAAACGAACAGATCCAAGGCCGTTTGTACGTAATTTGGAGCCCGTTTGTATTTATTTCACTGAATGGGCCGTATTTTGTACTTAGAAGATAAAAAGACGTCAGAAAAACTATTGGGAGTGTCTAAGAATCATTTTTCCAGAAATCTCTGGAAGAGAATTAAAAAAAAATAAATTACAATTTGAAATTAATCTATTTCATGGACTTTGAAGCAGTATAGTATTTTTATTTTTATTAAACCTCTGGTTAAAGCATAGATTGCCTATTATCACTTTACTAATCCTTCGTAAAGTTCTAACTATTATTATTAAGATTTTAGAGAACTATTCAGGCACGTTTCACTATGTGGGTGTTGATAATTTTAAAGTTTTAGTTTGTGAAATTTTTCTATATAAACTCTGTTGATTTTCTTAGAATCGCTTCATTCATTTTAATCGTTTTTTTTTTACTTTTTCTAACTCACATTGAAACTACTAATAAAATCTGTCGTTTCTAGCAATCGATCAGACTCAAATTAAAACCATTGTGTCAAGTGATTTTTAATAAATATTTAATAACAATTGCAGACGGAAATATTGTAGTAATTTTATTTAAAAATATGCAGAGACGGTTTATATTAAACATACGACCGATGTATACTGCTGACGCAAGTAATAAAGAGTGGTTTATTGTAAAAGTTAAAAAAATAAATAGCGCTTTCGACATTTTTAGAACGAATCTTCGAAATACTTCGATAGTTTTCAGTGAACATGTAATAACCACAATTTTCTATAAACTTTTTTTGGCAAAAAAATAGCATGGGTGTGTTTCTGGGGTCGAACTATACTACCAGTTAAAATACTTGCACTTATTTCTAGGTATAGTTGGGGCACCCTGTATAGTTTTTGTCTTCAGGCATTAGAAAAAAATAGGTATGAGAGTTAAACAGCAATCTATTATGTTTTGTAAACTATTTTAAAACTTATATACAGCTGGAATAAGCTTGTTATTAAAAGTGAATTGGTTTAGAAAAGTCGAAAAAAATGTTTTGTATCTACGTGAACGCATTGTTCTCCAAAAACAACGAAAAAATAAACAACAAAAGCAGCATTACGTACCTACTAATGCCCATTGAAATATGTGGCAAGAGAGCCGATAAAAATCATTAAGATAAAAAGAATTTTTCACACATTACGTATTTTAAAACTGGCCACTTAAAGGAATTTTCTAATTTTTTTTATTTTTTACGTTAGTGTTTCCATTTTGGTACAGCGAATTGTAACTATTTTATTTTCTAAATAATTATGGATATATTATTTGATATTGTTGATGGGTAAGATAGCCTATACAACGAAGTGTGTTAATTATTTTACGGAGTAGCATTTGTAATTATATTTTTTTTCTAGGGTATTCAAGAAGAGCTCACCCAATGGAAAGGTAAGAATTTTTTAATTTATTATATTATAACGTCAAAATGAAGCTATAAAATGTAATTATTAATTTGTATATTGCATATTTTAGTTAATATCTATCAGCAATCGTTTATTAATTAATTTTCAAGCAACAGTTAATATAAAATTTAATGTCGATTTTAATTTACGTTTTCCAGAAAAAAAATGATGTTTTGGTTAATGTCTCCTGCATACATTTTGAATTTGATGGTGTATTTTGCATCACCGTCGGTTAAATTTTGTATTGTTTAAAGATTTCCTGTCGATATTTATCACATTAGAATTCAAGGTCGGATATTGTGCAATATTTTTGAATAGGTGTTTGCGAAGAGCATAGTTTAAAATTGAAATAAGGCCTTAATACATTTTTTAACATAAATATTTTTTTATATATTTCTTACATTTTAAATGAGCCTTCTAAATTTTTCTCATGGAAATCATAAAAACCCTGGAAATGGCTTAATATTTTTAGGATAGCTTTGTGCAAATAGTTTTTCTCTAAGAAAAATATGTTTTTAATAATATATAAAAATAGATTGTGTGCAAAAATATCTTGTTTTGCTAGTATTTTTATAAAGGTCAAAAAGAGTTTTTAATTTTAAATAATCTATTGTTAAATATGCATATTTGGTTTGAAGTATAATCCCATGCAAATAAGAAATCTTCTTTATATTTAAGTGATTTTTTTAATTTTTTATTCATGATAAACCGGGATTGGAGCGGGGACTAGAGATGGGATTTTTTGGATATATCGATAACTATCTGCAATCGATATATAATAGATGACTTCAAAATTATCGATATATCGACATTGTCGATTCGACAACTACATACATACTACTGCCCTTACTCGCTGACGAGTATTTGACACGCATCAGAAGATGGTCACGCAAGGCGTTTTCTTTCATGAGCCTTTCTGTGACTGAAAAGCCCAATACGTGATGTTATTTGTCTACCGCACTCCGGACATTCAAAAATCTCATTGTTTTGTTGCCTCTTAACTTTTTGGTTCTCGCTGTTAACTGAGTTTACAATTCTTCTCCATTGAGTTCTATTGTGAGCTGCTACTTCCCACTCATTCTGCACATTAATCCCCTTTAAGTTTTCGTGGAAAATGTCCTTGTACCTTTTGAGTTGTCCACCTGGCCTCCTCTTACCGTCTACAAGCTCACCGTAAAGCAGTGATTTTGGTATGCGGTTTTCTTGCATTCTGCATACGTGACCAGCCCATCTTAGTCGGGATTTTGTAACCATGACTTCAATACTCTCGCAGTTAGCTTTTTCAAGAACCGATACGTTTGAGACGTGATGGAACCATTTGATTCTTAAGAGTTGTCTAAGGTGTCTCTGTTGCAGCTTTTTTAATGCGTTCATGTGTCGGCGGTACGGCACCCAGGTTTCGCTCCCATATAACATAGTGGGGATTATTATTGCTCGGTACACTGCAAGTTTCGTTTTTGTGCTCAGGTCATGGTTGTAAAAAACCCTGTCTTTTAATTTCCAGAATGCTCTTGAAGCGCTGCTAATCCTGTGCTGAATTTCAGAGTCGATATTGGCCTTTTCCGAAATCAAACTGCCGAGATAATTAATTCCGCTACATATTCCAGTAGTTCTTCTCCGATTTTTATAGCATTGTTGTGATCTTCCGGGGGAGTGCACATGATTTTAGTTTTGTCGATGTTTAGCTTAAGGCCCAAAGCCTCGTATGCCCAGGTATATGTGTTCAACATTTCTTGTAATTGCTGTACAGTTTTTGCAACTAGAGCGCAATCGACAACTATTATAGATTCGACAACTATTGATGTATTGATAGCTTTGAAAAAAAGATTAAGGCCTTCCTTAGTATAATGCTATTCAGATTTCCATAAGTATCAGTTATTGGTATATCGATAATTATCGATATTATATTAAATAAGATATAGAACATTTTCATTTTTCCTTAAAATTTCATTATCTCATCAAAAACTATCCATGCGTTGAATAACAATAGATGATTTCAAATTCGCTTCATTATTGATACCTATAGGTATAAAATATATATTGATAGATGAATTGCGACGACTTATCGATAGGCAAACATCCATTGTCGCCCATTCCTAGCGGTGACACGGATTTGAAATCAAACTACACCTTTGAATTTTACCCCGATCGATGAGATGACTTTTTAACTTCATTTCCTCGCCTGAAAAATGTTGCGAATTTCAAAAACTTGATATTATTTTCCTCATATTTTTCCTTGCCCCAAATCAAGACTAAATTATATTAGAAAATTAGAACTCTGATGGGGCCATTCATATATTTATAGGTCCTGTGGAAGTTAAAATTTATGAAGCCTACTTAATAAACTGAAATTTAAATCAGCGTTGCTGGTAACTCTGTTACCTATCGGAGTGAAATCCAGTTAACATCGTACTGCATTTCAGCGTATATCCGTTTTAATATAATTGGGATATCATATTGCGTTTGAGTTTTTTGAATTTAAGGCCATGCCTCATTTAGTACGTTTATTATTGCTTAACGATAAATGTTCAATTAATGTTTTTAATTATAATAGTTATGAATAAAATGCATCAGCTTTTTAGTTTAAACATTTCTGGATTGTTAAAAAGACTTATAATCAATTGGGCCAGTTTTTCCCAAATTCATTTCTGTTTACATTAGTAGCTTGTTATTAGCATAGTACAAACAATGTCTTATCTAGTGTTTTGCAATACAAACGCAGAATAAACAGATTACCTATTATTTGCCATAGATTAATACCAACTACATAACTAGATAAACAGGCATCTGCCCAGTCTCATATGTACCAATTTATTATCTATGAATTCTTTAAGAAAACTATTTTATCCTTGTAAAAAAGTGGGGCACAGTATGTCTGCTTACACTATATTTAAACTGGTATTTTTAAAAGGCGGAAACCTCGCAAGGAAGTCTTTTCGTAGATAAAACATAATCCCCATGTTTCTTTGAGAAAAAAATGTTTCTAAAGAAAATGATATTCTTTTCTAGCAAATGGAAACATCCTATTTGAAAGATTTATTATTGAAGATTTTCTACTAAAATATGACAGTGGTATTATATTCTCTGTATCACAGATAAAGATTCCTTTACTTTAAAATAGCTCAATAAAACTTCCACAAAGAAAGTACAACAAAAGTGTGAGTATTTAAAAAAAACAGGACTGTTCTTCAATCTGGAGGTCTACAAATTCACCCTGTACAAGAAGAAAATATACAGGAAGTGATTACAAGAGCATAATATAACGTTATATATTGATTATAACTGTTCACATACGAACAATGAGTGTTTAATTCAGACATATTATAGCAATTGTATGAAACAAATCAGATATTGCGCAATTATTGAGCTCAGCCACTCTGCGTTACCTCGGAACTTTATTGATATTAATTAAAAACATTTAGAAATAGAAGAAGCAGTTATTAGACTACTGTAAGAAAGTAATTAAGTCGTTTTGAAATTTAATTACGTTAAAGTTTGTTTTGACTTTGATATTTACAGATTCCTGCAATTTCACCCCGAAACTATATTTCTCGTTTTCAATTATTGCGCTTTTAGAACAACCGTAGAAGTTTTGAAAAAATAATTACTTTATTTTTTGCCATCAAAAATGTAAAAAGTTATTTAATTAAAAGATGATTCTCTATAAACAGTTCGGGAGATGGGAGATTTTTGCTTGTGTTACCATTGCACTTCTTGTTCAACATCAGATTTATTAATCTTCATAATAACGTTTACTTTTCCTAGTTAACCTATAAATGAATAATACTTTCCATAGTCTGGATAAATTCACATTGGCATTATACCGAATAAGTAATAAGGCATATAAGTTGACCTTAACGAGAAAACTACAGCGGAAACTGTAAAAACTTTTGATATTCTAAAGTGAAATTCCTAATTTGAAACTTTCCGAACTAATTTCGAAGCAATTGTTAATTTCCCATGATGGCGTTCTCTGTATTTGTGCTGGAAAACATTTATTTGCTTGTGTTTTAAATTAATCGTAGCGGAAAAAAAGCTAGGCTTTCCATAGTCAGATTATTGTTTGTTTTACTTAAACGTAAAATTTATTATTCCATTAGGTAGGCATTTTACGTTTACATTGCCTTTGGGAAGAGCAAATTGTTTAAACATATTTTTTCATCAGAAGTTCATGTTTATTCTCGGAAGTCAAATATTTTCGATGGGTAGCAATCTTTTGATGAACAATCAGCAATTTACCTCGTAATTGCATATTATATATTTATCAAAAGTTTCAATGATATTAAATAAATAACATTTTTTAACCATTAAAAACATCTTAAAGATATATATCTCTAGCTATACATTACATATGGTTCGGCAATAGTGCGTCAGGCACGTAGGATTTTGTATAAGTGCAAACCTAAAGTATGTATTAGGATATATTTCAGGACTGAGGAAATTATTTTAACTTCTACAGGGTAGCTAAAAAAAAGTGTGAGTGGTTCAGAATAATTATTTTTAAATGGAACACCCTGTAGATTATTGCTTTACATGATCCTAACATATTATTAAATATGTTTTGATAGTTTCAGAAATATTAATAAATAAATTAAAAAATAATTTTCAGTCTTTTTAAAAAAGTTTTTTTATTTTAGGAGCTACAGAAACCCAACGCACCATTGCCGGACCCTGTATAAATGTGTTTTTAGAAACTTTATTCAGGCTTGACTGTGAAATGATTGGAGGTGCTTCTTTCTTTTACACTTCGTCAAAAGAGAGGGATGTTTTATAAGTTTCAAATTTTGAATATTTCACTGAGCTGGACTGTTCTATACAAAGAGATAATCCGACCCAAAAGTTCACTAAATTTTCGTCCCAAGAACGATAGGGGCCTCACATGTAAAAAAGATCTAATCTTGACAGGAGTTTTTCAATTTTTTTTCAATATGTCCTGATAAATTTTAATATTTAATAAGAATATGTTGTTTCTATGTTTACAGCTTTGGAACTATATTTTATTTGTATTCAAATGTAATTCAAATTCGTGCGGCGACAGACAAATGCAATAATTGTAACAATTGTCTGTTTTGTACCCTGCAAATGCAATAATATGTCTAAATTAAACAGCTATTGTTACTAAGAGAACACATTTAATCGATTTATTATAACATACGTAATGAACTAAAACGCCGGCCTGTAATATATTTCCGTTTAATTTGTTTTACAATTAAACCACAAATTCTGTTTGCAGTGCATTGCGCATCATAGTGATAATTTAACCAACACCTGTTTTTTTTATTATGAAACTGCTAATAATATAGCTTATATTATTCATTATCTCGTATAATATTGGTTTATGACAGGATAAAAATTGTGCTATACATCAGAAAAAAGGCATTATTAAAAATGAACTATTTTTTATTTAGAATATTAAAAGCGCAGTAATAGCACAGATTATAAACTTTGTTTTTTCTTTATTGTTTTTCGTGGTTCCAATTTTCGGAATCGGGCACTAGTTAGGTGACTAGTTTGCACACATAGCACGCCCACTTATGGCCTCTAAAATTGTGCACAGCGGCTAACGGCACAGTTATTAGAGAGATATCGGAAAACCGAATAGCGTCATCCAGTATTTACGCGTATCTTATCATGGTTAGGGTATGCGCGAGTCAACGCAACACCCGCTAATAACGGTACCGCCTGACGTAATTTGCGGATCAATTACACCAAGCGCTCTTTTTAAATAACCTCTGATAACGTTTAAAAATTGCTTAAATGGGCATGTGCGGGTATTTGACAACCTGAGCCGGCCGGCGAGATCTTTTATTTTAGGTTATGTTTGAATTGTTTTGAATTATTGCTTTAGTTTTATTAGGTAATTTGATATTTAAGTAGCTGGGATTAGTTTTAATTAAATAAATATGGCCCAAAATATGGATTCCATCTCTTCCAATACTAAAGAACCTATAAAGAGTCTTAGGTTTACAGCAGATGACGACTTAGCCCTTCTAAGAGAATTTGTTGCTTGTTGTCCTAAACCCATTGGCAGACGTTGAACAATAAAGCACTGGAAATAAGCACTTTAGCCCTTTGGTTTTAAAATACCTAGTAAACAAAACAATTTCAAAGTTTAAATTCAAAGTTAGGTTAAGTTTAAATAGCAGACGCGACGCGATCAGAATTCTTTCCGATCCGATAACTATAAATAAAGAGAGTTAATACCACCTCACGTAAAGGAAATAACACCTGGCCTTATTAACGTCCATGCACGCTATTCGGTTTAGCGATATTTCTCTATTACGCTGTTTATTGTTATTTTACGCAAGTTTATTTTTGCGCACAGGAAATTTGACTCGTTTGCACATCGTCATAAAAAACAATTTTCGTACCACGAATTAGGGACAAGATTTTTATCTGTATACTTATAGGATACCTAATCTGTGGTAAAAGTATCGATAAAGGTACTGATTACTGATTAAACTCGAGAAGTCCTTCATTTAAATATTGAAATCTCAATTTCGATGCTATCGGGATTTGGAATGACAATTTCGATTTTGAAATGAGATCAAATTTGACTTGCTGTTACACCTAAACATATTTCGATTACGTACATACTCGTAACTATGTAAAGTTTTTTCGAGAAACCTGGATTTAAATGTTGAATATCTACAGTCCTGATCAAAAAATCTCTTATTATAAATCTCACAGGAGTGCGCTTCTTAAAAAAATGTATGTGTGCCTATAGGATAGGCAGACAGGCTATGCCGAAATTGTCTTAAAAAGGAACCTTTCACACGAGATGTGTCGTTTTTTTCTTGTGTCAATTGCGGTTTTCTTGATACACGTATTCCTACCTCTATTCCCTTAAGTGTTCTTTTGAATAACAGAGAACTGATGCCCAAGGTAACATCACTCGCGTTTTGTATAAAAAAATATAACTTTGCATGGTAAATACGTCGTAAAGAAATTACTTCTTTAATTGAGTTTTTTTTTCAAGACGAAAATACATTTTTTCTAGTTGAGACAGGACTGAATATACAAGTGTACGAGGGATGTCTCTTAACAAAATTTCTATTCCGGTAAAGTAATTTCCATATTTATATTTATACCCCAATTTTCCAGGTTACATCTAACTGTGGTATTTGTGAAGGCTTTTTTCCTTCAAAATTTATGTATATTTTAAAACCAAAGCATCATGCGCCTTTTTATCTGGAAGCACATTTGACACTCAGGTTGTTTGTGAAATGCTTTTGGAAAAATTCAAATCTAATGCTTTTTTTCCCGGGGATTATGTAAATTGAGCTGAAATATTGTTTGTCCGTTGTACTAACCAAAAAGCAGAGAAATCTTTTCAAGTGAATCCGTTCCATTATGGATTTAACAATAAATATTGGAAGGTTTTGAAGCTGATAGAAAATTAGAGCAAATTATTCTGTACAAGGGTTGTTTGCTAAATAAACTTATTCTCTTCTTCTTTTCAGATAACAGTTTACTTAGGTAAAAGGGATTTTGTGGATCATATATCCCACGTGGATCCAATAGGTAAGGCCATCAATTTCTTTTAGAGAATCTATATAATTGGAAATCATTTTTTATAGATGGGGTAGTGTTAATAGACCCTGATTATGTAAAGGATCGGAAAGTATTTGGCCACGTATTGGCCGCATTTAGATATGGTAGAGAAGACTTGGACGTTTTGGGCCTGACTTTCAGGAAAGATTTGTACTTAGCATCTGAACAAATTTATCCCCAAAATAGCTCCAGCGCTCAAAATTCGCGACCATTAACAAGATTACAAGTAAATACCGGATTTATCTATCAAATAATATCTTCATATTTATATTTTTTTATTAATCTTAGGAACGACTTATAAAGAAATTAGGCGCAAATGCTTTCCCGTTTTATTTCGAGTTGCCACCTCATTGTCCAGCCTCTGTCACTCTTCAACCAGCTCCAGGGGATACCGGAAAACCTTGCGGTGTTGACTATGAACTTAAAGCGTTTGTGGGAGTTTCTCAAGAAGATAAACCTCATAAAAGAAACTCTGTCAGATTGGCAATACGCAAAATTATGTATGCTCCAAGTAAACAGGGAGAACAGCCGTCTGTAGAAGTTAGCAAGGAATTTATGATGAGCCCAAACAAACTGTATCTCGAGGCCTCCTTAGATAAAGAATTATATCACCACGGTGAAAATATCGCTGTCAACGTTCATATAGCCAACAATTCGAACCGTACCGTAAAGAAGATTAAGGTTTCAGTTAGACAATTCGCTGATATCTGTCTATTTTCCACAGCTCAATACAAATGTACCGTAGCAGAAACTGAAAGCGAGTAAGTCAAATAAATTAATTAAATTAATAACTATATTAAGTTTAAATATTTTATCGTGTGGTTCATCATGGGTTAGTCAGTTATCATATCATGTGTCATAATTCTGTTTCAATTCATATTTTCTTTTGGGCATTCCAGTACAGGTCGTTCAATACCTCAGGGTTACACTCTGAACAAAGTGTTCACGGTCAGACCACTTTTAGCTAATAATAAGGACAAAAGAGGTCTAGCCCTTGATGGCCAATTAAAACACGAAGATACCAATCTAGCCTCATCTACGATGTGAGTTTTTGGGTTTAAAAAGATTTTTCGTGGCTACATTTTTTTGTAATCCTCGTGTGAGTTTCGTGCATGGTTTTTGGAGAACTTGCAGTATTTGATCTTTGCCAAATGGGTATTAATATTGTAGGATTTTACTACGGCGATCTGATCCAGGGATGTCACAATTTAAATTCTTTTTAGATTGGTATTTAAATAAAAAAAACTTGGTAGTTGATAGATATAGACTAGGCTAGATAGTGTGCGTTTTTAAGTAAAACTAAAGTGTGTTTTGTGTGTTTTTTTGCTTTTGCATAGAGAGGGATGTCCTATAGGCCCTGGCTTCACATTGAGCAAAGTTTTCACCTTGACGCCATTATTGGCCAACAATAAGGATAAGTGGGGACTTGCCCTCGATGGCCAACTTAAACACGAAGACACTAATCTTGCGTCAAGCACTTTGTAAGTTTTTAATTAGCTTTACTTTCTTTGCCTTTAAATTCTGTAGGTCGGAAAAAATATTTTATTTGGACTACATATATCGACATAAAAAGATCGATATCGACAGACATCTCTCCTGAAAACATAAAAGTATAAAGTCCGATGTTCTCGAATATATGCTATCGAATGATGCTTTATTAAAAAAATTATCGTTGTTTTTAACATAATAAACAATAATTTCATCACAGATATACCTTAGAATAGGAGTAATAAAATTATTTTTTAATACTTATGTCGTAAAACTTTTAATAGTGACATGGTGGAAAGTGTCAGTAACTTAATTCCTGGATTTCCTGTATATTTTATTTTGTCTGTCTGAAGAACAGTTAGTGTTTTATATAGTATTAATTTCATTAAACAATCTAAAATATCTTTTAGACCTAATTTACGCATAAGACGCGCTTTTAGCAATATGTTTTATAACATCTGTCTAATTCAATAAAAAAAATCCTTATGTGGAGATGGTTTTTTTCTCTAAAAAAGTAATACTTAGTTTAAAATATGTTTGACGATCTGTTTAAAATTATTTAACCTCTATAGTGCCTGATTAATTAAATGCATGATACAATGCATGAAAGTAAAAATTATGGTTTTTATTATCATAAAAGTGTGTCTTAGTTAGGAAATTCTAGAGTAATATTAAATGTATCTATTAATGTCATAAGTTAAAACGAGTTTATCTTATGATATTTTATATTTTTTATGGAGATTAGAGAGTACGATTTTTTAGAGTTGCTGACCCTTCACAGCGAGAAAATTTGGGCATTATCGTCCAATATAAGGTCAAAGTAAAGCTTTGTCTTGGTGCTCTAGGCGGGTAAGGATTTAAAAAACTACGATTTCTATTTTTTTTTTATTTATTTTTTTTAAAGAGATTTGGTTGCGGAACTGCCGTTTATCTTGATGCATCCTAAACCGGAGGAGGAACTGATTCCACCCAGCGTTACTCCATCAAGAAGAGTCAGTAAAGATGGAGACAATGATGTTCCAGTAGACACTAACTTAATTCAACTTGATGCGTAAGGGACTTGTCTAAATAACATATGATTTTTTTATTCGCTGTGTCTAGAGAACCTCGTGATCTTAAAAATAATATATATTTGTTGGTTGTTTCTTTCAGGGATGAGAACAATTTACAAGATCACGACGATGACATAATTTTTGAAGATTTCGCTCGGTTAAGGCTCAAGGGTGGCGAGACAGATGCATGAGGATTAATCCAGGTATGGGCTGCCCATCCATTGCTACCTATATTTGACGTGTATGGAAGCTGCCACTAGGCAGTTCAAAAAAATAACGAAAATTTTGTCATCCCAGTATGTGTACCCTAGTCATTGGCTGTTACTCAGTCACAACCAAAAAAAAGCACTTATTATATGTTGAAACAATGTGACTTTATACGCTTCATACAGGGTGTCCCATATTTATATATATATATATTAGTTAAAATAAGGTGTCACGATCCAGAAATAAATGAACTTTGTCTCCTTGGATTATAGTTAAGGTAAGATTTAAATTTGGGACATTCAGTTTTAAGCTAATATCTTGTTTACGTTCTTCAGAGGACAAATAGTTCATAATTTTTGGACTTTTTAGGAAAAATATCATCTAAATAGACTACGCTTGGTTTATAGTGAGAAATATATATGAATTTTTTAATTCAATAGATAAATGATGTTGCACAAGAGTTTGTAAAGAAAAAGAAAAATACCTTAATATATCTATATTACATATTTATCTATTGCCAATATATATATTACAGGTTTCTAAAATATACCAAGCGAGGGCTAACTAATTATATTACTTCATTTCAATATTACCATTCAAGAATTTTATATTTATATAAACATACATATATATTTAACTTGGTAGCTCTATTTAACGTCAAAGCACCCACTTCAGCATTTAGGCTCAATCCACATTATCTAGCTATTGTTCAAATTTAATCTTCTGAAAATTGTTGGGCAAGAAGTAAATATCATGCATTTTTTGTTACTGGAAAGCTTGTCTCTGTTTAATTTAAAGATGCTGGATATTGTGGATAGCGTCATTTTATTTTTAAATTTAGAAGACTGAATCATAGATCAAGTATAAACCATCTAGGTTTTAGCTTAGGGCTGTGTCCAGTATAAGTTCAAACTCGACTATTTTAAATAAAGGGAAAACGGTGTATATCGTCACAGATTTGTTTTAAAATAAACTTTCTACTGGCCATAGTCGAATTTTCAGAAATATTTCCTGGTTAAAATCAACGAACTTCGTTATAATATTGTAAACATTGTACCTGGGAGGTAGATAGATTAGTATCTTATTACCAGATTACTTACTTGTGGTTTATTTTTGAAATTCGCAAAATTATTAACAGTGAAACAGGACCGTATCTAACAGAAACTTCGTTAAGAATCATATACAGATTTTTTTAATTTAATATTGATTTTGTCTAGCTCCCACCCTAAGATACGGCTTTGGGTTTAAAAGTTTATTTTTAAGGTTGTTTCTGCCTGTGTCAAATTCGTTAATTCGCAGTGACTGCGCTTCAACTTTATTTAATGAAATATAACTACATATTTTTTTCTAAAATCACAATAAGGTAACTGATAAGAGATGAAATCCTTTAAATCGAAACAAATAGTACAAAGTACTAACAGCATTAAGAGATGAATTTATCAGTATATAACCGTCACTCAACTACCAGTTAAGTCGTTTTTATTAACACAAAATTTGTTGGACGTAAGCAGCGTTTTTTGGCAGTAAAAACTGCTAAATACTAATAAAAGCGATATTGTTGTACAGTAAAAACAATCGTTCTTACTGTACAACAGTTTAACCCCATTTAATAATACGAGGGTTGTCTGTTATATTTTGCATTTAGTAGAAAAAAACAGTAGATAACTTTTAAACACTATTGTATTTCGAAGTATTCTCCGCGAAGAGAAATGCATATTTGCATTCCTTGGAACTAATTCTGAAAGCAGTTATCCTTCAAAATTGCGTTTTTGAAGGCGCAAACAGCCGATTGACGTTTATTTTCGGGGCCATATCGGTCTAAAATTTTGGCGTTAAGTTAATGACAGTTACTACATGCAAAATTCAAAAGACAACCCTCGTAGTATACCCGCCCATGGTACTCAATTATAAACAACCATTTTGTGAGGTAAATCATTCAATAATGTGAAAAACTTTTCAAACGCTCATTTGTATTAAAAATATCGTTTATTGAAAATTATTGCATTTATTGGTGATCTTTTATTAATCAGCATTTAACTGGGCCTGTATTGAATCTTGCACCGAAAATAAGAGGTCTTATAAAATAACTAATATACCTAGCTTGTAAGTACATAAAGCTTTTCTATTTCGAAATAGGTGCTTTGATAAAACTTAGAAGCAAACGGTCTGGTCATATTTTCCAATCCTTTTTCAAGACTTCATAACAAATAGAATCGTCCTGTGGATATATTTTTTTAAATTCTGACTAGAGAGATCTTATTACGAATCAATGAAATGTGATATTTCTCGTCCAATTAACATTTAGAAATCTCTATTTTGGGGAAAATGAAATTTGTGTAGATTTGAATCAGAATTTAAAGTAAGAGAGATACAAAAACATCTCATATAAACTCTAAAGTTATGAAGTTTTGGCTAAACTAAAAAGTACAGCTTTTGTAACGTCGGTTTTTAAAATTTTGTACTGAATTTTTTTACAAACATTTTTTATTACCTTTTTAATGCACTTTTATACTTAAAAACAGATACACTATAGTGGACAGTACTTTCTTATTAAAATATATTTTAGGGTGTTATTAATAATAATTCGAGGGTAATTGGTAAACTGCTGAATTGGGAGATCATTTTTGAAAATTTTTACGCCCGAATTGTTGAGTATTGTACGGTCTAATTATATAGAAAATTTTCGAAAGTTTGATTTTTTAACTTTGAATATCTTAGTATCTAATAAAGAAACAAGTAGTTAGGCGATATCATGAATAAGTCTGAGCAGGATAAGGAAGGGTAATTAATATAATAGGGAAATTACGTCGAATATCAATATATTCTCTTAGTTTGGGCATAACAAATTATCACAGCAGTTTATTTGAAAAAGCATTATACTTTAGGCAAAAAGGTTACGGTCCGTGCCTAAGGAAGAAATCAAGAAAAACTTTTACAAAAAGAATGTTATTAGTGTATGAGATATGAACAAAGAGTGTGTTATGATTTTAAAAGTTTCAGTTTTAGCAGAATACTTACAAACATTTATGTTTAAAAGATAACTCAAGAATATAATGTTACTCAACTTGTATTCTTCCATTTTCCTTGAAAACGATGAGATAATATGAATGTTTAATGGTTTGCTTAATAACAACACTCACTCTTAACAGTAGCGTAAAAATATCAAGAATTTTTGTCATTTCGAAAAAATTCTTTAAACAGATGTTAAAAAGAATATTTGACGTTTCTATGTATCCTTCAATCCATATAAGTAATTACTAGTCTTATATTTATAAGGGAAAGATGTTTCTTCACGCAAACTGTCAATTTGGATGTCCATTTTATAAGTTAGCCCTTTTTTAATTTATAGAAAATTGTTAGTATACTGATCGTACATATAGAAATTTTATTTATTATTTTTAATAATAAAATGTGTAATTATCCTGTACCGCCTGTTTTTTTTTACTACCATGAAAGGAAAAAACGCTCCATTATTTTAATTTTTTATTTTTGTTTCTATCAGCTATTTTAATAAGATTACAAATTCATTTCAGAATTATTCAACTAAATTTGAAAGAAAATCAACATTGACAAACAACATTATTGTATTATTTTAACAATATAGAGGCAACACAAAGTATATTCAATTCCAACCGTAAAGTTGAAGGCAATCTATTTTATATTATTCAGAAATTAAAAAATAATTTATACGCTATGCACGTTAATATTTCACTTTACAAAATAGTTTCTTTAAATCTAGCTAGCTGAAAAAAATTATAAAAGGCACTATCATAATTTAGAGGGAATTGAACAACTTTTTAACAAAAATTTGAGCCTAAAAATTGTTAGGTATTTTCAAAAACTACTTAACATAAAATTAATTCTTTTTCTGTCAATAGAAATAATTCAAACAGTATTAATTGAGCTTTGGGTAACTAATAATTTATACTTCATGTACCGTTAATTTGGTCTCTAATATTTTTCCACAGAAAACAATTTGACCCCAAAATATTCCTAAAACTCCGGAATTTTTCTAATTTTCAATAAATTAGGTGGTAAATACCATGGGAGTGCCAATAGAAAAACAAAAGGTGAATTTCCCTTGATATGAATATATAAAAATATCTTCCAAAAAGTCTATACTTTTATCCATTAGTACATATTACAAAAAGGTTAAGGTTAAAAATGACTATACCCAACTTATCAACTATATTTTACTTAACTTTAATGAAAATAGTCGAGAAAAAACTGACGATACATGAAGTACTAGGAATAATTTCTAAAAATTATAATTCTAATATGACAAAAGGAATTGCGCAACAAACGCAGCAAGGAATGGATAATGGAGTGTGTAGAAGGAACGAAGACTTCTGTAACAAATAGGATGCATTCACACACACGTACAACTTAAATTATGCCTAAAGAGAATGAGTAAACAAAAATATAAGAAATATATAATATGTTAATCGTGAATATAAATACAAGAAAAAGTAAAAAATTAAAATATTTGAGAACTGTGATTACAAAAAAAATAACAAATCTCACTTAAGTGTCATTTAAATACATTTTTTTTCTCTTTTTATCTGGATTAAATTTGCTAATTCGAAAAACGGTGAAATACTAGTAAGTCTTATTAAATTACAATTGTTATCACAAAAAACATCTATGTTTATAATCACTAAATTATTATCACAAACATGTTGAGGTCAAATGGATTGATGCACAACATCCAAAAATTCAATTGAATAACGACTGGGAGATATGTGTGTCCGACAATTAAAAAAAAACTATTTCTTCATTGGCGGTTGACAAATATAAATAGTCAGTCGATTTTTAATATAAATCTAAGTCATACAGCACGACAGCAGTTGAAATGGAGATAAAGATCTTTTTGTATAAAAACTTTCTCTTGAACGTCTCTACAGTTAAAAATAAATTTTATATTCCATTTCAATCGCTTTTAATTATTTTTTCAATGTACAAAACTGCATCTATCGATAGGAAAACTACAATAAAACACAATCATTCGAAAAGGACCATTAGCAATGGACTTACAGGATTTTTAGGAACAGGACCAGGTACAGGATCCAGAAGTCCTCATAAGGATAAAGGATTTTCAGATTCATTACTACTATTTACAAAAACTAATACGTATTTTCAAAAGGAGAAAGCACACGGAAATACTGTTCTGTAATTTACGAAACCCGATGCAAAATATTTTTTTAAGGTCTAATTGACATAGTTTAATCTAATTTGCAAAAGCAAGGTATCCAATAATCCGAAATCAACAACACTGATGATAGACTCGCAATCTTCGTTTTGATAAACATGAAGACTTCTAAAACTATATTCAGGTTGTTAATTTGTTCATTACTCGCGGCAAGAGCTTTATGGTTGAAATATGGCAACCTCGGCCCGCTCGTCGATAGACGACGCGACGGGACGAGTGGGCAGAAAAATAAATAATGCATGCCTTCTCAATAGGCAGTGTTGCCATTCTGTTCCCCTATAAGTAACTGTCGAGTTAACAACCTGTATAGTCCTGAGGAAGGTCACATATTTTTCAAAACTTGTTCAACATTTTAAAAATAACATTTTTTCAACATTTTAAAAATAAATAGCAATGTAAAAATCAAATAACATAATACATAAATTCAGTGAACACCATGCTAAATAAAATCTTTGTACAAACCAATGAAATACTGAAATTAAACGAAACCTCCCTTTGAAAATATCTCAATAAAGCAACTCAAGAACTAATTTACCCATTTATACAGGTTGTCCCAGAAATAAGTGCAAGTATTTTAACTAGTAAAAAATACTTTTATTATTCAAATAGAAATATCAATTATTTTGGTGTTTATTCACAAAAACAGGAGTGTGAGAAAAACTAAGGAGTTTATATTCTCGAAATGTTGTTAAGTGTAAAGTTGCGGTTTTAGGTAAAATGATAAAACGACACTCTAATTACATCTATCTGCTTTCTATCGGAGTTCGTTTTCTAGTCGATTACCAAGTTTACACGAATGCTTAATTCGCATTAGTCAATAATGCGATTTAGTGAAAATACGGTTTGGGTCGTGTTTACACGACGGGTTAAAAAAGGGATTTTTACGTTGACGTTAAACAGCTGTTTCCTATTGCCAACCTAAGAAAATTCAAAACATAATAATATTGCTTTTGCTTAAACAACTGATATTGATTTTTCGCATTTTTAACAAATAATTCTAAACTTTTAAACGTTAAAAATGGATAATCTAAATATTGTTAGTTCCTTTATGGTTCTGTTAAACCAATTACTATATGAAAGAAGAAATCAGGTGATATCTAGAATCTTACGAAGAAGAAGGTAAACTCTAAAAAGAATGAGAAGTTTAATGTTAGATTCTTATTTACATTTACTACATTGTCAGATTTTAATGGAAATACCAGGATCAGTTTTTCAAAACTTTCCACCGAGCTTCAGGAGTAGTTGGATGAAACCAAGGAGTGGTCACTTTTTTAAAATATAAACACAAAAAATAACCTCAATATTCGTTCAGTCAGCTGTCGGTTCATTTTTTTTGTTGGTAGCGCTGCGAGATAATGCGCATTTGTGTTTACACGAAACTTTAATTCGAATTTAAGCGAGATAATCCACATATTTAATGCGTTCTGAGTTAATGCGAATTAGGATTTTTAAAACGGTTTACAAATGTTGACACAGGCGTTTTATTTAAATTCGCATTCAGCCAATGCGCATTAGGTTGCTCGTGTAAACTTAGTAGATGTGTCAAACATTGGGCGTCGAACAAGCTGGGATCCAGCTAATTGCTTGGCATTTGCCGCTGAATATCAGTTGCTGCCGGCGACTCTCAAAATGTTGCCATTACGCCATTACTTTTTAAATTTTCAAAGTTACGTAACTCTGTTATTATTAATTTATTTTAAAAATGGTAAAGAGAAAATATGTTTCTTTTGGACAGATCTTAAAATACTTGCAGTTATTTCTGGGACACCCTGTATATTGTTTGATGCATTGCTTATAAATGGATTGTCTTAAGGTGACACGTTATATTGAGTAAGCACAATAATGTGAATATATAAATGCAAAACCAAATTATACGCCATGGGTAAGAAGTTCTCACTATATGACAACAAATTTACAACTTACCACACCAAAATCGTTATGCTTAATATAATATTAGTATGTAGCTTTTAACAACTCAAAACAAATATTCTGCTTTTTTAACTACGTTGGGCCGTTATTAAATTTTACATACTAAATTTCCTACAAACAGAACATTATGGCCCACCAAATCAACTAACAAAAAAAATTAAATATTGCAAAATGACAACATTCAAATTTATTCGGAATTTAGTTGATTCAACGTGAAATAACGTCGATTAGAAAAAAAAAGATAACTATATACAATTTTATTTTGTGTATTGTTAAGAGACACTTATTGGTGTTTTTTTTTTTCATATTAAAAATATATATATTTTACAATGTAAAGTCACAGAATACCTTAACTATTCAGAAGCGACAGTAAACTTTGGTTCTTTTGAATATGTTCCAATTTCATGTAAAATACAGGTAAAAAATGTAAATACATATAAGGTGAAAGATATGGCATTTCCATTCCTTCCCAACATATACTTTTGAGTCTCTTTAAAATTTGATCTCTAATAAAAATAAAAATATAATATCAATAAAAAAATAAAAGACCTAATATAAGAAAATATAAAAAATCGGGTCTCCTAAGTAAACCAAGCTTAACTCGTAAAAGTATTTTTGTCGCCGTTCATAAAAAGTGTTTTTTGCAACATTACGGGTCTTTACAGGCTCATCCTTGATATTACCAACAACTAATCAAAATTTGGTTAACAAAAAAAATGCTACTGTCGCTTCGGTATAGATAGGTAATAATGTGGTCAAATAAATGATCATAAACTGCAAAGGAAAAAAAAATGGTTTAGAATCCTTAGGTTTTAAAACTGAATCTGAGTACTTATCAAAAGGATTCTTCTTTTTTAAGTTATTATATTTAGTATTGATCCCACCCCTCTTCTTGATGTCTATTGAAACGCTCTTCGGGAGTTACGCGATTATTTTTTCAAGGTTGTCCCACCCCGGATCCTCAAGACTGATTTTGATTACCCCGTTTTTACCCTAGAAATTGTCTGTTTTCGGTCATCTACACTAACTATCGTATTTTATGCAGTATGTCCCTAGATTGTCTTTACAAGAGGAAAAACTTTTATTATTAACATTTTTCATATAATGCATTTTTCATAAAAAACTTTGCTTGTTCTAAAGTGGTTAATCCCGTTTATACTGAGAAAATAAAAAAAAACATGAAAATATGACTGAATTTTTCCTTGATGTCCTAAAAATAATAAAACGTTTCTATGGTAATATAGTATCGATTTCATTCTTTGATAGATGGTTATCATTAATTTTGATTAACGTCATATTTTCTGCTGCTGTTAAAGCATCACATTTTCTTATAACTATTATCACCATTTTCGTAGCATTAAACTAAACAAGTTGTGTGCTTCTTTAACATTTTAAAACAGCAAAAATATGACGTTAATTAAAATTCTATCAATAACAATCTGCCAAAGAATGAAAGCGAAATTATATTACCATAGAAACGCGTTTTAATTTTTGGAAAAGTATTTGTAGTGAAATTGGAAAAGTATAAACGGGTTTTACCATTTTAGAATAAGCAAAACTTTTTATGAAGAATGTATTTTGCTCAAAATCTCAATAATAAAAAAGCGTTTCCTCTCGTAAAGACAATCCGGGGACATACTGTATACGCTACTACCTCGTTCAGAATTCATATGCCATACAACGACTGCAACCTATCTTTTAATTGCGGCGGAAACTGATCGCTAAATCTTCTCCAGTTCTCGTCTCCAACTTGCTCTTTGAATGTATGCAAGATCTGAAATTTAAAATAAGGTTCAAACTGCAAACGAATCTAAAATTTGATAATACCTTGTGAAAAACTGCTTTTAAATCTTCTTTGGGACTAATCCATGAGGCTACTGCATCACAGAAAAATATGAAATCTGTAATGACGCCTACAGGGTTCACTTGGATCATCTGACACATGCCACGGAACGCACTGTCTTTCTCTTCATTGTCCCTGATATTTCTTAGCGATATACACCTACAAGTGAAATAGTTAAGTAACAATTAAATCCTGAAAAGAAATGCAGTGCAAACGAATGTAATATCGCGTTTGCACTGATACTTTTCATTGTATTTGATGTAGAATCCTCCTCAATTTTATGATCAGAATAAATTTAGGTCTTTTGACAGTTAAAACAGACACAAGCATGCGTTAACTAGAATACTTACCAAATACAGTTAGTATCTCATAAAATTGAGGAGCTTTTTTTGCGGTTTATGGTTACTGAAGGAAGCAATTTTAGGGAGTTAATTTTCGTTAGCTTCCTTTAATTATTTGAACAAAAAACATAGTTAAAAACTTAAAGAACAGAAACTAACGTAAGAAATTTAAACAGAGAATGAAATAAAAAAATAATAAAAAAGGATTACAGACCACTGTCGAACAAATTCTTGTAACATTGGGGCGACATCATGAGGGCACACATAACCTAGTCGACCAATTGTTATGGCTATACCGAGAACAAAAACAGAACAAAAAACAACTCAATTACAAAGAAATCAGTCAAGTTATGCAGTAAATTATTATTAAATTGCAGATAAAAATTATTAAATCATATGATGTAAAATTGAGAACAACCAACGTATAAGTCGTAAAAAAGTAAAAAGATTTTTTATTTCATATCAAAACACTTTTAGTTTATTGAATTACGCTGGTTATTCGATCTAAAAATAGAAATCAGAAATTAAAAAACTATAATAGTAATTTAACCTTGACAATATATTAGCAGAAGGGACAATATTAAATTTAATATATAGTCAAAGTTAAAGTAAAATAAATCAGTGCTTGATAAAAAAAAGAACTTTAAACCAACGAAATTTAAATGAGTTACATCAATAAAAAATTAAAAAAGGAAAACGTCGACGAGAACACTAATAATCAATGTAAAATGAGACTTAACAACAAAATTGAATAAATCGTAAATAAAATAAAATTTTGAGAAGAAACAGTTGAAAAACAAAACGAGTTTACTCACTATCTTTTTTTATTTTTTGATATTCACATAAAATTTGTTGGGGATTACCAAGTAGATCCCACTGTATAGGCCCTTGCGATTAGTTCCATTTTATCAGGTGTGGTCAAGATACTGATATTTTATCTGACATGAAATCTATAATTAAACTAGACATAGCTCAATTTAACTGTCACAACATACATCTAATAACACAAAACAAGGCTGCAAAATAACAATAACTAGGTGGTCTTTTTTATTTTAAAAACACTTTAGAAGGTACAACACTGCCGGAAATAAAAAGTTCTTTGATTTTTATCAACACTGTTTTGACTTTATATACAATATCCGGCAAAATTAGAGTAACATAACGTCATCTGTATATATCTAGAAAAAAAATTAACTGGTCAATTCGTTAGGACTATTTTTTATTATCGATTATGTAATGTATAAATATATGATAACGCAGTTTCTTTAATTTTGTCCGGAAAGTATTTTATAAAAAACTTTTAAGGTTTCTGTATTTAATTGTGGAATTACGATAGTCCAAAAAAAAATTCAATTTTCTGTATTTAGTGACTACAAATATAGCCGTTTAAAAATGATTTAATATGGGTATTTAAAAAGCAGAAATATAATTGGGGTTTTGGCTACAAGACATTTCTCTCCTTAATCTTACCTTTGGTACTATTTAATTTTAATATGTTTTAGCTGTTCTTTGTAAAATTGAATTAAAAAAGAACAGCTTATGCAACATGCAAAGAAAGTAACTCTTACCGAGTCATGCTTAACGCTAGAAAGGATTTCCTACCTGTATTTTCCAGAAGAGTTTTTGGCGTGTCTGGCTTATTTATTATATCTATTAGTTGATTCAAAACCAGTGGTATAAATGGTCGTGTGTCAGCACCTAAACAGTTAAGTTATAGAATAAAAGCAATTTATTAGATAGTGCCTCATTAACTTTACCTAGTTTAATACTAATTTCTCCAATGGCCCATGTGGCATTATTGCAAACTGATATATATTCTGGATTCAAGTTCTGACCCAAAATAGACAAAAAGCTTGAAATGTGCGGTCTAACATGTTGAAAACATGCTTTTGTGAGATCACCTAATAGAGCAAAAGAACTCTGCCTTACTTCGGGCATGGAATCTTGCATACAGATATTCAATAATTCCATAATGGTACTATTTTCCACCAGCTTCTCGATGTGGCCGTTTAAACCTTCGGCCAAGCCAGATAAAAGATCTAAAGCCACTATCATGAAGTCCTTGTCTGGTGCTTCATACTGATCTGGATTTTGAATATTGGCCTTAAAAATCAATTATTAATTTTAAAATTAATTAGCCAATGCGGAAAATAATCTTACCATATGTAGACATAAAGTATGTTGGACAAGAGATACACATCTACAATAAACAGGTTCACAGTATGGTAAAAATCCAGACTGAAGTGCTGTGGCAACACTGGAAAGGCACTGAAAAGAGTGCATATTGAACTATAAAAAAATTAAATGAAAGGAAAAATGAACCAACCTCTAACAAGGGAAACAAATCTTTATCTTCGTCTTTTAAAACATTCCATTTTTGAATTAAAGGTGGCATCAATAAATTTATATATTCTGGCTTATTTAAATGGCTCCCTACTGAGTCAGCAAGGGTTCCTATAGCGTCATATAGAATCAACAAATTTTTATGTTGATATTTTGTAAATGCAAAAACTAAGGTTTCAAGAATAAAACCCAAATAAGGAACCAGTTCAGTACATGCTTCCTCTTCTAATGTTGCAAACGCGGAACAAGCTGCCTCTTGCACCCTCTTATTTCCATCGAGTATTCTTTTTAGTAGTTCAGTCATTAAAGGCTTTAAATAAGATTCATGGGGTTGGCTTACTACCCAATGAGAATATCTACTTAACGTCCAACATGTAATCGCCCTCACCAGTGCCTTCTTGTCATTAAGACAATTTATCAGATAAGGAATCAGCTCTGGTAAGTGATTGATCATTCCACTCATACAACCTTCAGCAATAGCACCTAAAATATAATATGGCAAATATGTGAAATAATTTATGTGAACTTATGAGACCGTACCCAGCGCTAATATGCCCGATTCTTTCACATCCCAATCCTGATGGAATAAGGTTTCTTTCAAAATTGGTATCAGGATTGGTAAAAGATCGTCCCTAAATACATTTGCGAGTACATCTAAAGCAGCTGCACTACATTTCCTGAGATTCCAGTCCGAAATTGACCCGTCGTCATCTGAATCTTCAAAATCTTCATCTTCATCTAAAATAAGTAAGTCTTGAATAAATTAACATAAAATATAAAGTTGTGAATCGGTTTACCCTTGTCAATCCCATTCTCAGTGCCATTTTGTGGATTTGTCTTAACCGGTATTGTATGTTTAGATTTATGAAATCTCGGTTTTATATCTTCCTCTTTGTCAGGAATATTGTCATCCTCCTCTACGTCACCCTGTAATTTTTTAAAATTCATTAATTAAATTATTCACCACATCAATCACTCTCCGCCCTTACTTTCAACAAAATAATATCGATTTCTGAATATTTCATGCCCCTCACAAGAACTGGAATTAGTCTGCTCAAATGATTAGCCAGAACACTTTTACAAATCGGCTGTTCAGCAAGAGATAGCCAAAACTCGCAGGCTTCCAAAGCAACACCTTCATCTGCATCTTGCGTCCTAAGCAACATATATTCAATAATGTTGTCTATTTGATTTATGAGTCTGTCCATTCTAACTTCCAAAAGCATCACTAAAGCCCTACAGACATTTTTTCGAACTTCTGCATCGTCGTCAGTAGCCACATGGAAAAGGTTCTTTAAAAGAATTCAAATACAGACCAAATTTATTATAATGGAAATATTTTTAATAAAAAAATTTACCTGTAGAAATGAATCAATGTGAAACATGAGTGCTTGAGACCTTTGAATAATAAATTGATTTACACATCCAATAGCATAGGACCTAATTTTCGAACTAGAATGATTAAAAAACTGTAAGAATTTCGGTATCAGAATGTCTAGAGGTCGGTTTGTTGTATCGGCATCTAAAGCTTCAGCAGAATCTTCGCAGATTTTCTGTAAAGCCCCGAAAGCACCTTCACAAACATTGTAATCCGTAGAGTCAAGCATATTACACAAGGCAGGTAAAAGTTGCGGCCACGACCCTAAGTCCCCTTTACTTGCGACTGTTGTTATTAAAATACCGACGGTAGCTCTTATTAATGGACTCGGGTCGCCGACAGCTTGAAGGCATTCAGTCTTTATAAAATTTGTTACATTTGGTAATAAACTATTATAATGAGTTTTGACGTTATTCTTCAATATTAAACCACTTAGTGATCTTGTGGGTTCATCTTCTGTTGTCAGTTTTGTTAAAACAAACATTAAGTAATTATTAAAATCTGGATATTTATTTAATTCTTCCAGTTTCTATAGAGGGGGTTAAGGAAAACAATTCATTCTTTGTATTTTTTAAAATAGAAAAAAATATTAATATCGTTTGTACAAAAACTGCCCTCTAAGCGCTACTTTACATATACAGTTATGTATTGAGCAGTGTATGTTTATTATGAATTGTTAAATATGAAGAGCATTTTGTATTTTCGGTATTTTTTGGCCATATTGTTACAAAATCATCAACTTACAATAATGAGTCGCTGGTAAATAAATTAAAAAAGGATACTTGTTGTACGGCCCTTTGAGTGGCAGTGTCCGGCGATTGCGATTCTCTTAAAAGGGTCAGGATTTCCCTCAATCCTTCCTCTTGCGGAGTCCACTCCATTTTCATTTCTTGCTATGTGGCTATATAATTTTCGGTTACGACATACGAAAAACAAAATTTTAACGAATCGTGTAGATGGACACTTAAAAAGATGGGAAAAATTGCAGAAACGCTTTCTATTTTACACAAGTATTGGATTATGGGCGGGACTTAAAACGGAAGCTCTTGTCAAATTTGACAGTTGACTGTCAAAAACTTCGTTTTTTTTATGCTGACATCTAGTGGTGAAGATGACCACTACGCCCATATATCAAAATACTGGTTGCCTAAAATCATTATTTCAACCATCGACGTTAAACAATTAGATAGACCTTTTCGTTAGTATATTCTGTGGATAGACCTTTCGTTTTAATAGGGGAAGAATAATATACTTGTTATCGACATTTAATGGTATGCAACCCGTTATACAGCTAGAGCCTTGAAAAATGTGACGTAGAGGAAGAGAGGGGAGTATTAGAAGAGAACTGTACAGAAAGAGAGTATAATAATTTATTGTTAATATCGGCTGACGAAATAATAGTGTAAAATAAACATTAATTAAGTTAATGGTGCTTTATTTGGACTAAAGTAAAGTTAACATACTTCAAAAGAATATCTAGCAAATATTCTTCAGATTAAATTATAAAATAATATTGCCATTTTCTTTTTTTATAGATAAGGCGATCTATGATAATAAACTACTAGAATGCTATTTCACTTAGGTCAAAGACTATCAAAGTAGTCTTTGCTTAGGTCTTTCAATAAACGCATCTTACGAATTCCGTGACTAATCTCTCAGCTCCTGATAATACAAATTCACCTCCTTTCCTTTGACTTTGACGCCATCTTAGTTCTTGAAAAACAATCAACTACAATACTGGATTAATAATATGTATTTATGTACTTGGATCAACTTGTCCAATTACAGAAAGGGTTAAAAGCACAATAAACGAAAAGAAATTAAGACTTTCTAATTTCAATTAAAGTAAAAGTTCATTAAAACATTTGACACTTTTGACAGCTGTTGCTAGTCTGTGATTGGTGGGAACGATCCAGTGTGTCATAGACTGGGGGTCACATTTTACCTCCTCGCTGATTATGCTCTCCTGATATCAGGAGCCCGCCAAACCATACCAAACCAACAATTTATCCAAATCGTCGTATTTCAAGAAAATGGCGAATGCGCTTGGAAAATTAATGAAATTCTTAGAAAATCTTTCACCATTACCAAAAGTATTATTAGAAAGACTAAATAACTTTTATTGTGTATCCTCAAATATTGTTAACATGAGAATACAACTTTAATCTTACATGTAAATAATAATTCTCTACATCCATTGTGCTTTTAGTATTTCCTAACACTACAATTTTCTACAGTTGGTTCTAATGGTCTTATTCCTTTCCTTGTTGGTCTTTTGGGATTTAAACTATTAGGTTTACTTTCATCCAAGTTCAATCAAAACATCAATACTAGATGATAATTCATTGTGATTAAATCTCTTCATTTTCTCCGACTTCTAATGTTCATATCTGAATGTCGATTTCCATTGTCGATATTCCATTTTTCTATGCCTACACCTAACTTACTTTCAACTGAAAATAAATACTTATTTTCATTTCTCCTCTAATTCCTAGTTCATGTTCCTTACCAACACTCCAAGTCAATACTACAAGGGAAATGGTAGTATAAGGAAAGCTGGGTTTTACAGAATAGCCTCAAATATAAGTAAAAATGTGCTAAGGAACTTAATAAAAAATCTAGATTGTTTTGCTTCATATAATACACAACTTTAACTTATACACAATGTTTTAGATCTTATAAATATTTAATAAAGCCATACTAAAATATATATATATATATATATATATATATATATATATATATATATATATATATATATATATATATATATATATATATATATATATATATATATATATATATATATATATATATATATATATATATATATATATATATATATATATATATATATATATATATATATATATATATATATATATATATATATATATATATATATATATATAAATATATATATTTATAATTGCAGGAAAATACAGTAAATAAAATTGTGTCTTATGATATGTACTTAATACAATGAAAAGACAAGTTGATATTACAGCGCAGCCATTGTTTTCTCTCTATATATAAATATGACACAGTGGGTAGCCACAAAATTTATAAAATTGGGGAGTTTTTCCTACATTTCATTTACACATAGCAATTATTTACAATTTTCTTGTATCCGAACAAACTTTTCGGGATTATTCAGACAGTTTACTCCCCTATAAGTACGCCACTGGAATTAAAATAGCTAAAGTACTTAGCAACAGGGATGAACAAGTAAAAAAACTATTTTTTTACGTTTTTTACATATTTCATCTCTATTTTTGGACAAAACGTAAAAAAAGAGACTCGCATACTCCCATCCCCATAGCAGCGAGCACGTTTCTACTGATACAAGAGTAATCCATATATAGGGTGTTAACATAAATAAAACCTATATTAATATTAAATAAAATTATGTAAAACGTCTGTACTAAATAATTACAGATCATTGTTAAATTTCTATTAAACAAATGTGTTGCTTAAAAAGTAAAATTTAATATAATAAATGGAGACATGAGAAATATTCTGATAAAAATTACAATTAAAATAAGAAATAGTTTGTCAGGTAGGCCTAATTTACTCATAGCCAATATTACTCATTCGTAGATAGCAATATAAAGAAAATAATTAATAAATCAAAAATATTTAATAAGTGGGCTTGAATATATTTAAAATACTCTAAGACTAGATTTCTTTCTTTTTTTACACATTAAAATCTGAGATAAAAAAAGATAATGTTAAAATTAAGAAAATTAATGGTGGATACCTATAGAAACGTACCCCCTGGATATTCCAAGTTGATTCTTAAGCCAATTCGAACATGTATACAACAATAGCGAAAAAACTTGGAAGTAGAACTTTGAAGGAAACAATCAATTACTAACTTTCGTTTTCATCATCTAAAAATTCTACATGGGTAAATGGAAAAAATCCGATTTTTCCATGTAGTTCTCCTTCCCATTGACCATTCATGTTCATCTTAAGAACCTTGATGGTGTCCCCTTTCTCTAGTTTTAAAGCAGTATCGTCATAGGCGTTCGGAATCCTTGCTTGTTTGACTCTGGCATAAGCAGGCAGCTTTCGTTGTTTTGGCTTGGGTTTTGATTCAGGAGTACTGCTAATAGGCCCATCCAGTTGTCTTGGTGTTTCTACAGGCGACTGACTCTCTTCATACTGTAATAATTTTTTTTTATTTATTCAATTCAAAATAGGAGGTCCTAAATACAAAGCTCTTAAAAACTAGCTAACAAAAAAAATCCCAAAATTACATATACAATAAGTAATACAAAATAGATATACAATCTCCTATCTTTGTAATTTGAAATATTATATAAGATGTCTACTGATTGATTTACAAGTCTCTAATGATGCCTAGATAAATACCTTTTGTACATAAGGAACAGGTATTGAACCCTCATTCCCAAATTTATCTTTAGCCCGCCACCATTGTTCTTCCTCCTTAAATGTTACTGTTAAAATATCACCTTTTTTGAAACTTAAGTCGTCTCTCTCCTAAAATTCATAAAAAGAATAACAAAATAAAAAAAAACAAAATAATAACAAAATTTCAATTAGATAATAACTGACTAACCTGACTATCAAAATCAAATTTGGCTATAACTTTTTCTAATTTTTTGCTAGCCGGCCTAATAAGAGGTGTGGTATCTAAATAATGCAATTTGTAAAATGATATAAGCTCTGGTAGATTTTTGAAATACTGGTCACCAATACGAAACATTGTCAAATCATTTTGCTTTGTTTTGTTAATTATATAGTGGCTAACTTTACTATCCTCTCTGTAAAAAAATAACATTGCCTGCATTATAAATTAAGACAATAATAAACCATAAATTTATATACTTGAAAATATTTAAGTTTCTGATTTACATCATTAAATTAACTGTTTGCCTTTTAAGTAACTGCTAAATAATCATGGGCATAGTTAATGTATATTACAATCCATATTCTCTTTTTGGTTGTTTATAATTTAAATAATTATAAATAGTTTTAAATTTTCCTTTTTGTAAAGCTAAACCAAACAATTAGTTTATTATCCTTTATCAGAATCTGATAACTGATTAGCATAAGAATATAGTAGTACATTAAAATTTTAGGTCATATGAATTCAAATGTGTTTAAGTAAAATAAAAACTTACTTGACACATAAAACATAATCACCAACAGAAGAGGCACTGTCTCGAACTAAAAAAACCCCACCTTCCTTTTCTGCCATTAAAACATCTTGGGCTTCTTTGCGCCCAATGGCCCCAAAATACCAGCTGAAATAAAATTAATAACTTCTTTTAATTCAAAAAGAATTCATTCTTACCTTCGCTCATCTTCATGATCAAGTAGGTTACTCATGTTTATAAATATTACAATAATTTGTACAGCTAAGTAATAAGAACTTAACACACTTAATATCTAGGTATTCATGATCTTAAATAAATATCTTGTGTTTTTCTTCAAAATAATTGTTTTTAATTGGTAATTTAAAGGGCTCCACTATAAGAGAGATTTTTAGCAGAAGCTGTAATTCACATGCCACCTAGTTTTGTCGTTTCCCATTTCTCTCATTATGCTACCATTATCAGTTTCACTGTCTACTAATTACGACGGATTAATTAAGAGAAAAACTGTAAGAACCTTTAATATTTAATAAAGTTTCTGGAATTTATTAAAACAACAATGGCGTCCTAACAGTGTCAATGTCATTTGACATAGGAGCCACAGATCAAAAACAAAACTGGTAGAAACGAAATTTTTTCTATGGGCTACGATTAGCTCTGTTATCTATGGATACCTTTGATGGATTAATGCTGGAGAGAAATATAAAATAAAATTTTTTTAGTTACTTTATGGATTAATGTTTGTAACTTGTGTATGTGTTTTGTGAATGGATTTGTCTGATGGAAAAAGTGGGAAAAAGGAAAGCCGGACGAAAGCGTTTACGCATTGTTTACGAGTTTACGCCGTTTACGCATTCGCCATTTTCTTGAGAAGAGACGATTTTTATCTCTTAACTTAGTAGAATATAATTTTTCTTAAAAAATAAAGAACTATTCATGGTACTGTGCATATTGAGATTTATTTTATTGGAGGCAGTCGGAGGTAGTTTATACAACAAAATTCAAGTATTTTCACCTTTAAAATAAATCTGTTGCCATGTTGCTAATCATATAAAATACATTGTAAAAAAATATACAATTCAAAAAGAAAGTGACAGAAACATCTGTAAAATATCAAAAATAAATAGACAATACAAAAACCTACTATTTACATAATACTAGTCTGCTAATATTAAAAATCCTGACGGCCATAAAAGCTCAATATTGGCCGACTGCAATTCCAAAAATATAGAATACTGCGAGTAAACAACCAACCAACAATATATCTGAAAAAATAACATCATCTCATATTAATTAATTACTGATTTCTACACTACTATTTCTTTGGTTTGAAAAATAAAATGTATACCAAAATATACTTACATTGTAGGCCATCCAACACCAGATTATTAGTGTATAGAAAACTGTTTCAATCTAAAACAGGAAAAAAACAAGTATAAAAATGTTAGTGTGTGGCCCCACATGAGGTGTACAGCATAGCGTATCATAGAGCAGAGAGGACCACAAAGCGTTCAAATGCATTAAAGTAAATTGAAGTGGCCCCACATACAGCGAAGCTATTGCGGATTGACGCGTATTTTCTCACACTATATGAACTCCCCTCTCCATACGCTACGCTACCAGCTTTATGGTTGGGCCACGGCCTTATACACAAAATTATAAAGGCTTACATATATGTAATATCCTCCAAGCAGCCATAGGCCAAAAACCAGTTGAAACAACACAGCAACACCAAACAATACCATCCACGGCAGCATAAATCCTCTGATCATTACGTTTAGACCAAATACAAGTAAAACAGCAGAGATTATCAACAAACAAAAATAGACTAGCATACAGCTTCCAACCACTTGCATAGCTAAGAAAACAACAAATTTCTCAATAACTATTAAGCTTACAAGTTATAAATTGAATGAACTTACAATATCTAACGTCAGCCTCAAACAGGGGGTTGTACAATTGAGTAGAGTCGCCCCCAGTCATGTTAAATATGATAAAAGTCATTAAAACTATACTAATTGTAAGTGTATAAAAAGATATGGCTTTGCACCCCGTTTTCAAATTGTCCGTCCAGATGCATGGGGCCCAGCACGAGTTTAATAAGACCATAATGAAAATAATATAAAAACATAAAAATTAAATCAAATTTAAATGGCTTTGGCACGCCCCAAAACAAGTAATGTTATGACACAGGTTATGACAAATGACATGACAGATGGTGGACGTTTGTTTACAGTTCGCTTTACAGAAATCCTTAAAACTAAAGGTCATATCTCATGTCCAACTATGGAGTGTAGAGGTAGTCATACCTCTACACTCCATATGTCCAACTCATGTCCATAGAACCATATAGAACTCTTATAGAACAAATCTGTTCTTACGGCCGGCAATACAGATTTCTTGTCTTGGAATTGGCTCAAAGCAATATCTTTGTGTTAATTTTTTTAATCAATAATTAAAATATAAAAATTAGGAGTATAATTATATTTACATTTTTATTTCGTCTTAATTGCTTGCATTATGTTTCTTAGAAAATGAAAACCCTATATTTATTTTTTAGTTTGTTTTATTTGAACAATTATATTAAACCTTAGTTTTAATAAACTATTATCGTTATAACACAAATAACAATGATGATATAATATCTTATTTGTTAAACAAGTTGATCACAAATTTCCGGTTTACGTAATATAGAAAATATATTTTTAGTTTGCTCTTCCATTAAACTTCAAGACCTCTTTAGAGGAGACTGATCTGATTGATATTAATACAAAAATCGTCACCAGTGGCATATTTATTTGACTTTTTTTTTAACAACTACTTGGTCTAAAATTTAAAATCATAATGCACACAAATAGTGACAAAATATACAAAGGTACATAACAATGAAGAGCTGGCAACACTCAGTTTAATACTAATTTATTTTATTAAAATTCTATGTCGGAGGTATATATCATGCACAGGATAGAAGATATAGACGATAAAACTACTATACGAAAAGTATGAGATCTGTCTAGATTTCTATCTTCGATTGCATTATTATTTTTTATTATTGCCAGCTCAAACAAAGAAGAATAATTTTACAATTAAAATATCGCAAGCGCAACTAGATTGCACTGAAGTAATTTGCGTTAATTAATACAAAACTAAAACGTTAAGTTTAATCAGAAAAAGCAGACTTTCTACAAAAGTATCCGTACTAGCTTTTGACAGTATTTTGGTGTATATACCAAGGCGTCAAGATTTTTATTTGGCCTACAAAATTCAAGAAAGAAATTAAAAAAAAACATAAACATCGTTTCTCTTATTCTAAAGATAATACTACTGGTAAATGAAACGAAATATGCCTAAATTAAATGTAAATAATTGACAGCAAAATAGTGTGCATAATCTCATAGGCAAATATTTTCCTGAATTTAAATACATATATTCTTTTCGAAAAAAGAAACTACGCTTAGTTTTGTAGTGACATTGTTGTAGACCAAGGCATCTAAAACATTAAAATGTGTTTCTATGACAAGCTAAAATCTAAAGCCAATCGGACAAAGATCATGCTATCATATCTATATCCAAGGTATCTCCCCCATCTACTTGGTCGATATGGCTGGTGGGGGTTGGGGTTGGTATGCGTTCCTCTGAAAGAAGAGGATCTCCGGTGGTGCGATGGACTGGGGAGACGCCTCTTACTAGAAAGGAGTCGGTGTTGAGCGCGTTGGGCGAAGAAAGCATCGGATCTCCATTGACACCATAGACAAGGTCATCGTCGTCCATTCCTTCCTCCATTGCGGCCGACAGGCTTAAGTTGGCATCGGATATAACATCAGGCATCTGCAATAAAGTGTTACAAACTTTAATAAGTACATCAAAACAGTTTATTTTTGAAGGACGTGCCTTTCACTAACAACAATTTATAATGTATATTTGCTTTTTATTCTCATTATTGTTGCAAATCCCGCATTTTCTCATAAGCTTTTTACACAAATAATATTACTACTGACGTCTTGTCCTTGTCCATTTCTAATAAATCAAGTTAGGATGCAAATATCTTGCTGTAGCAAAACCTGCAATATGCATCATACTGCAACAAAACCCCCTTAACCGAATTATTTTTATTCTCTTTAAAAATTAAATACTAATTTTTATTTCTAGAAAAAAGAGACACGAAACAATGATTCCACTCAATGGACACGTTTTTTATAAAATAACGCTTCAAACATTTGCTAAAACCCTTTTTGCAAATTATCTCAAAATAACGTTTTGCAACTTGGCGCCTCATAAAAGCTTTTTTTTAATTTTAATATTTTTCCTAGCGCATTCGCCATATTTTTGAGAAGAAGCCCGATACACAGCAAGTTTCTATATTTACGGTTTAAAATTGAATCTTAAAAATGAACTAAAACTATACGTGTCGTACGCAGCACTCTATATTATTTTAGAATATGCCTTAGATTGATCCGAAATATTGGTAGTATTAAGGGACAGCCCAGGAGAGACAGCTCTAGTACTAGAGTTTCAGGAATTTTTCCGGAAAGCATTGCTTACTTTTCGACTTGTATCCGAGAAAATAGGCATAATGGAACTAATTGGAGGTTGATTCTGGTCCAGATCGAGGTTGTGGTCCAAACCATGGTCGATTTTATGGTCTAAACTAGGATCCAGACTAGGCTCGATATTCGGACTATAAGAATTAAAATGTGGTGGTGTGTTGACGAGACTTTGCCAGTTAAAATCTGACACTGGCAGTCCATGAGATTTAGCTTGCCTCTCGAGTTCCTAAAATATTTATAAAAATTATTTATGGGGTATATTGTATAAAAATAATTTGTTTAGTTACCTGCACCCTCAATTGTAGTCGTCTATTGATGTGTTCAGTTTGTTTTTGTCTCGCTTCTTGCTGCTTAAGCCTGTGTACTTCGCTTTTAAGACACTTGATATATTCGACTGAGGATTTCAATATTGTGCCCTTGTTAGGCCGGACGTCCCTCACAATTTCATAGTAAGGATCTGTATTTTTCGGTAGTAAAGTTCCTAATTCTTTAATTCTATCATTTATATTAAATCTTCTTCTACGTTCAACTGAAGACAAATAAATGAATTAGTATATGTTTGTAAAGTTAAAAAAACATGCATTATTTTTTAGAAACAAGATTTACGCTTCACATCATTTCTTATTTAAAATCAAAAGAAATTTAAGTTGGCTGGAAATTAGGACCAACAATTTTTTCATCTGTCAATTGAATGATTATATAGAGGACACATTTTTATTTCATCTTGTTGATCGTGGCAGATAAGTTTTTAAGTAGCTTCGTATATGACGTCACCATGTCGATTTACAATCAATTAAAAATCGATATGGGTTGTCTATAGATTATATTAACTTGCGAGTAAACAGTTCATGTAATAATAAGTATATTTCACTTATTGCCGTTGTAAATCCTACGTAATATACAGTTGCCTCATTTTTTTTCTGTTGTCTAGTGAGATAGAACCAGTGGCGTAGCTTCTGGGAAGCCAAATGATATTTGGCCACCCCGTGTGTAGATTTTTATACGAAATCTTTATTAAATAAAAGTGATATATGTATATATACCCAGTAACGATTCTGTAAACAACTTTTTAAACTTAAAAAAATGACTCTATATTACTACTAGATTAAAAAGATTTTAAAAATTAGATAAGTTTATTTCAATTAAAAAGTGATAATTAATTTTGTTTTATTAATTAATGTTTTTATTATTCTTACTGATATCGTTTTAAACGCTGCTACCAAATCGAAAACATGGAATTTTGGTATATCTTTCTTACAGAAAAATTCATTATTTTTTCTCATTAATTTAGCCTTAGTTTATAGATATACTTTTTATCATCACTTTATTAACAAAGATCTTGCAGTAAATGTGGAAAATCTGTCGCAATTAAAAAATTTAAAATCAGAAAAATAGTAGCTAACATTAATTATTTACTCTGACTTACTCATATTGTGGTTGTCTTTTTTTTGTCTGTCTTTGGCCATGGCATGCAGTTCTGCTTCACTTAGTAAATAGGGTTCGTTTTTAATATTAATATCATTAGCCAATGAGCTGTCTGATGTCTTAAAACTATCTGATGCTAACGAACTATTTTCCAATGAGAGTAGATCATCTAGAAGTTCTTCAGCCTAAAAAACAGAGAAAAATAATTAGTATTTTTTTTCTTTCTAAACTGAAATACTAGAATACATAATATTTTTTCCTTCTGATTGTATAATTTGAGTCAATTTTTGTTTTGCAAGGTTACAGATATAATTAGACACTATTTTGTAAATATACCATGTCCAGTTATTTTATTAATGTTTTACTTCCAGGCATACATATATTATTTTATGCATCATTTTTCGTATTTTTAATTCTAGTACTTTGCTTAATTTTTAAATGTAATAAATGTCTTCAAAAAAGAGAACTCTTTGGAACTAACCCTGACAGAGCTGCAATAAGTCAGTTTTAAAAAGACTTAAATCTTAAAAGTGTCAAGTCATTTCTAAAATCAAAATGATTTAAATCTTAAACCAATTTCAACATAAAGTTCAAATGATTGTTCAATCATCTTTGCTTGAGTTCATCCCCCTTGAGTTCAGTGTGAAAGATTCAAGTCTTTTTTAATGACTTAAGTCTTTTTGATGAACCCTGGTGAATTTGAGTTTTATATTTAATATAATACAAATATTGATATAGGTTTAGTGTTACTTGCATGATGTAAATTACTATAACATTTTCGTGTAAGTGTCATAAATTTTGAATGACTCACGACTAGCGGGCTATGAAAAAAATCGACGATTTACAACCATCGACAAATAATTTTATTTCATTGATGTTTGTCTTAAACGGTAGCTTAAATAGGATTACTTTGGTGGCATTGCTACTAACATATTTTTTTAAGCGTACACTTTTATTGTGAGGCAGGCATCAAGGAAGCTATAAAAAACGTGTGCCTCATTATAAATCAAATGTAGAAAATGTTAGATAATCGTTTTTTAATTAAAAGTCGAAGGAAATTTTGCAATTAAAAAATTTACCAATAAAAAAATCAATAAATAAAATATGAAAAATACAAAACAAATACAGTCATTTATATGCTAGAATTTCAAGCATGGGGTTCACAGAAAAACGAGGTGTATCAACGCTACTCGAAGTGAAAAAAAAAACATAAAAGACTATTTTTATAATGTTAGAATTTAGATAATTGTACTAAAAGCAACTGCCAAAGATCGTGATTTTTAAAAATTTTTGGCACATTTTTGAAGTAATCTATTTATGAATAAATAAAGCAAATAATACGTTTGACTCCACATGTATGCTCTTTTAAATTTATTAAAATCCATTAAATCCAATTACAACATATTTAGCAGATAAGACTCTGAGATTGATTATTCGTCGAATAATGCCATATAATATTAATTTTAAATATTCATTTTTCAAAAATACCACTACTAAAATTAAAACCCTTTTACTCTAGCAGTAATTCAAATAGGGTCAGTATCCTAAATTAAACAAAGAAAATTGAATCTTAACTTAATCATGAAAAATTTAAGCAATAAGAAGATAACTGCACAGCATCAAAAGGGATTAGAAATATGGAACGCCAGACATATTTGTTTTTCTGTATATATTATTAAATACGTGAGATAAATACATATAAAAATTTTAGATAATGCAATATAAGTTAGTGGAAATAATAAACAAACAAGAAATAATTAAAAGACAAAAACATCGTATAGAAAAAACAATTAAAACAATTTTTGATAATTATTGTCGTTAATCTTGTTGGGTTTTTCGACACGAAGGAATGCTTGAGGAATATTATGTCCATTGAAGACAGAAAAATAAGCACAAGTGTAATAAAGGTATCAACGCCTTATCTGCATATGCATACACGTGTGCGAAATTCAAAGGTATCATTTTTACAAAAAGTAATTCCATTCATACTGGAACAGGTTCACAATAAATAAATACTGCAGGGGGACCGGTTATACCTACTAACCCAATTTTTGGTCGGTATTTTTCAGCGGTTCAGTTTCGATTTTATATCAAAAAGAAATAAAGTGTATGTATGCAGCGTTACGTCACATTTGGCATTGTAATTGTTTCCAACTGATTTATTCACAGAAGTGTCTGAATAATTATAGATTGATAGTGACAAAGGGAATCCCAACCTTTATGCAATACCGTAGGAAAATAGTAATCAATGGAAAAATTAAATAAAATAAATGTAACCAACCAATGGTTCGCTGATGCATTTGTAAAACTATCCATATTATGATTCTTTTCTTTTACTTGTCGATATATTAATTGTTTGCAGAGCTGCAACAAGCCAGTTTTAAAAAGACTTAAATCTTAATTATTTCTAAAATCAAAATGATTTAAGTCTTAAGTCTAATTCAACATAAAGTGCAAATGATTTAAGTCATTTTATTTCAAGTAAAGTAATTTTTGTAAACACTTAAATTAATATAACGTTATTTAAGTCGTTTTATAACCTAAGTCTATATTTTTGACTTTAATCATAATGATCTGCAAGTTAAGTCAGTAAAATGACTTAAATCAATATACATAAATACCATCAAGTCGAGAAGACCAGAATTTTCTTGCTTAGTATCATATTATTAATTTATTGTAGATACAGATGAGATTAGCTAGATCTCGCCGCATCTTTTATTATGATATTTTGTATTTGTTTTTCTTGGGTACTAAATAAAGACATTTATTATTATTATTATTATTATTAAAACCACATAAAATAAAACGGTCAATTTTCAGCAACTACAAACACAAAAATGTTTTTTTTTATAAAACTTAACCGATTTTGTAGTACTTTATATGTATCCATATAGATAGAGAGTGATAGATAGATGTCATCGAATACCTACATGTCTATTTTTTAATATTGATTGTAAATATATTAGTTTAAATAACAAGTGGTGATGTGTTTTGATCACTACCGTAAAATGGGGGGAATAGAAACATAGTGGTGAATAGAAACAAAATTTCTGAAAAAAATCAAATCACGATTAAAAATATTCAAAGTAAAGAGAGTCGACATATCTAATTTTTCTATCATTGGTAATACACAATAAAATGTAAAAACTATATTTTTATCTGTGGCAGCACTGTCTCTGTCAATCAACTGATCAATTGTGTGAGATCGATTTATCACCTATTTTGTATGGCGCGAAAACTTTATAAATAAAATATTTATTTTTAAAGTAATACATAAGCTGTTACATGTAAGTTGTTACATTATATGTATTGTTAATGATTGTTAAACCTACTTAAATATGTAATAATTTACTGTTTCTAATCACCTTGTTGGAAGTATAATAGATAAAAACCTTAACATCAATGTGTGTTTCTATTCTCCCGAATAGCAGGTGAATAGAAACACAAATGTTATTTTTATTTAATATTGATATGCATATTTTTCAAAAATCAAATTATATGTATACGCAAAGAACAAACAAAGACCCATGTTTTAAAATATTCGGGAAAATAATACCACATTTTTATCAACCGGTATATCGCTAATAGCCTACGAAACTGTTTCTATTCACCCCATTTTACGGTATGTGATATATCGATGGTATAAGCTAAGGGCTGAAGGATTTTAAGGTACTTTTCAATATATTCGAGATAAATTTCTTTCGTTCGTCTTTCGGGTTACATAATCGAGTCGGGGATTCACTCGAAAGACAACAGACTGACTACGCACGCGTAACAACACAATCAAAACCGGTTATGAAAAAGTAACATTTAAAACATTTTATTTACTAGTGGTATTGAGCATTGTTTTTTTTCTGCTGCTTGGCTCCCACCTAACAGCTTAAAAAGAATTGCTGCTGTTAAAAATTTAGCATAAAAATTTTAAAAATCTGACTTAAGCCTTTTATAAAAAGACTTAAATATTTTTAATGACTTAATATTATGACTTATTTATATATTATAATAAATTTATTCTTAAAAGTCTCAAAAATATTTCGGAATAAAGATTTAAATCACAAATCATTTTCAAAAAAAATAAGTCTTAAGTCAGCTTTCAAAAAATGACTTATAATCAAATGACTTAAGTCATTAAAAGGATTTAAATAAAAAAAAGTTTTCTGTGAGCTGCAACTCTGTTTGTATATTAATTATTTGGACAATAATTACATAGGTTTGTTTTGTCGTAATTTTGAAGAACCATCAAAAACACGTTCCTCTGTATATTTCTTTATAACATTATGATTAAGCAGTGTATCTTTTTTATCACTGGAAAAATTCTAAATTACATGAGGACATTAAATAATATAAAAATATAATTTTATTTCTCTCTCTGGCATCAAGGTTAAAAGTTTTTTATACTATTTTTATATCATTAGTTAAAGCTTCATAAAACACTCTGTGGATAAGAATGTTATTTATTAGATTTGGTATTCTAGATCAGATGGAAAATATCCTAAACGGCATAGGGTTAATGTTAATAGCTTTAATTTAGTATACAAAAATAAATAATTACTAAGAAGTAATAAAGCAAGACGAAGAAAACTACTAAAACTTGACGTGACATGGCTTAATAATTAATTTAATGAAAGTCGAAAATGATCTAGGAGACAATTCTGGGAATAATGGAATTTTTGAATAAAAAAAATATTTTTTGTTGATGAAATCCTGCAGAAAATTATCCAAAAGAATAAGGGTGAAAAAATAACATAATGCCATCGACCTACAATCTGAATTTTTTATCAAAAAGTAAATAAAATAATAATAAAATGTTACATCAATGAAAAAAACTGTACTTACTCAATTCGAGCTGATTTAAAGGTATAATCTTAAGATGAGTATGTATTTATCTGACGGGAAATACACAATAAGAGGAGGGTTAGTCAAATAGAGATAATTAAATTTAATTTTTATAGTTCAAATGAATTAGTAAATTTAATTTTTCTTCCTCACTTTGTTTCGTGTTGATTATTTTTATATTTTATATTAATTAAAGAAACCCTGGGCGACAAAAATCTTATCAGATACCTAGAATAATATCTATTTTGTTTATACAGAATGGTCCAAGTATAATTTATATTCACAGTCTGTATAAATAACTTAAATATAATTAATTCGAACGCCATGCAGATAAATTTAACACGACTATGATATTCATTCCGTGTGCAATAATAATTAAGGTGTTCAATGAAATTGTATTTTTTTTAAATGTGAGAATATCTTCACAGGATGTATATCAGCGGCTATTATAATCAAATTTCATTAATGATTGTTTGGATTTTAGCTCGCATTGTTACCAATTTGACGTACTTGAGATACTACAGAAAAAATGTATTCTTGTTCATTAGTCCATGATAGCCATTACAACTAGTAGTGTATTTCAGTTTTGATCAATGACAACACTGGCGTAGCCACGGGCGTCTTCTGAGGGGGGTCGTGTAATAAATTACGGTTTTATATGGTTTATTAAAACGACTTCAAGTTTATTAACTTACGGAATTTTTTTATATCACTACAATGGACGTTTTATCAGTTATATTAACTGTTATGTCGAATAATTTATGTACACAAAGTATTTAAAAAGAAAAATGTAAATTAATGTTGACATTAATTAAAATTTCTAGAAGGCAAATACAAATTACTCATTTATTTGACGGTTTTTAGCGTTCCAACATAACCGCGTGGTGATTTTTAAAATTAAGTTCTACAATTCAAAAGAAGATGATCAATGATCGTGACAAAATCATTTTTCCCCATTACAATTTTCATTTAAATCGTTTGTATATAAACTTAATTAATGCTAACGAATGTAAGGAACGAGAAAATTGTTTAAATAACATTTGTTTTAGAGGAATAACAAATAAAAACCTGAAGTTATATAACATGAAGTTTTTAGATGAAATCGTTTAAAGTGGGTAAATAGTTCCATTCATTTTTCAGCACTACCTTGGGTGAGTATTTTATTTTTCTTGCCCAAGGTAGTGCTGAAAAATGGATGGAACTATTTACCCATACATTGTAATGGTAATGTGGTGAATTCATCATCATCGTCATTCACAGCTTATTCAATCATTTCCAATTATGGTGTGGCCTCCCTCACATATTTAGATACTCTCTTGGTAGTTGGTACCATTGTGGTCTATGCGTTATCCCTGCTAATTTCCTAATATCATGGTCCCATCTCAGGTTCGGTCTTCTTCTAGGTCTCTTAATTCCTCTTTGGTACCATGTTGTAATTTTTGTGGTCAACGTCTGTTGTCCGGCCTTCTTGTTAGGTGTCCTGCCCGCATTGAACTATATACTAAAGTAACTGGAAAGGAAGCGGCGTAGTGGCGCCTGAGGCAAATTTTCGAATAGAAAGAGAGAGAACGTAAAAGGGGTGGTTGTCTTTGTCTGACTCATTAATATAGATGGAAAGCCATGTAGTTTTTAATTTATTTGTTTAAATAATAATGTAATAATAAATGTTCTTGTTTTAAAAGGCGTTTAAATCAATTCACAATGTTTTATTTGTTTAATAATTGGAGTAGGTATAAATATTTTTAGATATACAGTAGGTATAGTGTAGGTATACATTATTTAATAAAGGCAAATCGTTAATGGTTACCAATCGGAGGAAGTGAAAAAGGTTTACTTTCTGTTTCTTTTACCTAATTTAATTTAATTTTGGCTATAGTAGAGAGATAAAAATTATAATACCTACGTCTACTAATATGGGAAATTGGGACCAAATAAAAAACAATAAAGATATACAAATATAAAATTACATTTTTATTTACTACTAAAAGTACAAAGATTAACAATTTTTAAATAATATTAATTTAGTCAATTTTTGCCTTACACTAGCTTCATTTCTTTTTATCTTCTGCTTTAAAGTCTTTATTTGTCTGCGTAACTTTACACGGCTTCTTGGTTTTAATAGTGAACATTGAACTTTACGATCAGCAAATGTTTTAGCAGAAGTGGTTGAAGTTGATGGCTGAATCTCCGGTTGACTACATTCTATTTCAGCCTGATCAATGTCCATGGGTTCGGCACTATATACTATCTTAAATAAATAATAAAAGTTGATAAAAAGGCCTTTAGAGTAAAGCGATTGATGGAAACACAAGAACCTTTCCCTTCCAATGTTTAAGATTTGAATCTTGGCTTACCTTCCCGATTAAGTCCCTTCGTTGCACGACACTTTTCTTTTGCAAATGTTTGGGAAAGGAAAAAATACTTGGAACTGCATCTGGTTTGAGTACTTTTTTGTTTGATCCCAATCTAATCAGAAAATCAGATGGCACAAAGTGCTCCGAATACAGTTTGCTTGATTTTGAAGGCTTCCACTTTTCTCGTCGAATGGCTTTTATCCAGAGATTAAGGATTTCAGGGCGCCTGACGCCTAAATGGAAACCTAAACATAAAATGTAAACAATATAACCTAATAAACTTTTAACGCTGTACCCCTTACCCAAAAAAAGAAATTGGCTTCTGCGGGTTATATTCATTACTGCAACCATATGCAGCACAAAAATTGACCATCGCAATTTATTCTTATAAACCAACAACTCACAGATTTAAAAAGTTTTTTCAGAGTTCAACTACACTTCAACTTCACTCGATTTATAGCACAAAACTACAAAATGTTTTAAAGCAAATCTTAAAATGTATTTATAACACACGTTTCCGGTCACTGATAATCCTAAATCAGGTAAACAAACTCTTAAATTGCTAAAATTCGTCAATGAAATCCAAACACAGTAAACACCATCGCCATTACTCGCATATCTGTGCAAGTGCGACAAAGACAACAACCCCTTTTATTATCCCTCTCACTCTATGACAAATGCGCCTCAAAAATCGATATGTGAAAGCATTGCCGCGACCTTTCCAGTTACGTTAGTTATATAGTTCAATGCCTGCCCGTTGCCACTTGAGGGATTTGACTCTGTGGATGACATCTATTACCTGAGTGTTTTACACTCTATTCATTTACGGTCTTTCTTGGTTATTCCCAGCATGTTTCGTTCCATTGAGCGTTGTGCGACCTGCAGTTTCCTTATAACGTCCGTTTAAAGTGTTTTTTTCGAAACCTACTTAATTGATGGCTGTATTTAGTTCGTTAATTTGTGCTTGTCGTTTTTCAGGACACGTTTTTCACACGCCAGCGTATCTTAGATGGTTAAGATATTCTCAATCTATTCTTAATTCTTTGTTGGTCCAGTCCAGTTGACGGAAGATTTCTTCTAATGTTGCTGTAAACAGCTTTGGGGAAACACTCGTGGTGTTTTATATATCCTTTACTCTTGTTTTGGCTTCTTTGTATAGGCTATTCTATATTGGCGAGAGTTTCTATAAAAGGCCTGGCAATACCTTGTTTCGCTAGGGTTTCGTTGGATTAGCGAGTCGAAAGCCTTCCCAAAGTCTATAAATATTTTGGTGAATTAGTCTTTTAAAAAATGTCTATATAGTCTGTGAAACGAATAACTTTGAACTTGACAGTTCCCGCGGGCTTTTCTAGTGTATATTTTATTAGGTTAGCAACTTGCGGCCATGCTGATGCAATGCCGTCTCTAATAGAACAGCCTTAGAGCGAGATTTATGACGTCACGCTAGTTAGATACTACGGATTAATAAATATGTTGTAGAATACATGAACATAATTATTTGGATTATATTCGACACTATTTTTTTCATATGACAGAACACTGATGAAGGCTATAAACGTTAGCTATGACGTTTTTTTTTAAACTAAAAAAAATAATGAAAAACCAAATGAAAACCCAATCAGCGTTTTTCCCGAACCTAAATCCCAAGAAAATCAAAAATTTTAGAGTAATTTTACATATAAAATGACAGCGATCTTTATTTCATAGCCGTCGCTGACGCCTTTTTTTCTATGATATTGTATTATTTGCAAATATAATTTTTCGAACATTGATGCCTGCAAAATATACATATAAATTTTGTGAATGCAAATAATAAAATATCACTATTAGTAGATACTGAATGTTTTTTGTTAAATTAGATCGATTTTCAAACCCCAAAATTTAAAATATATTTTACATTTTACCCATTATCTTATGTACCTATTCATTATTTGTATATTGTAAAACATTTGCAAAAAAAAAGTATTTATTACTATAAATAGGTATATATATTGTATTCATTAACTATATATTATGTATATTTCATGTAAACTATATCATTTTTAAAATACAAACCAAAAATACGAGGAATAATTAAGTTTTCCGTGTATTCTACAACATATTTATTAATCCGTGGTATCTAACTAGCGTGACGTCATAAATCTCGCTCCGAGGCTGTTCTATTAGAGACGGCATTGGTCTGATATTTAGAAATGTCAAAGGCTGATGACATTTTACTTTTGTCAATTATGACATTTCGCGTTAATTTTTGAAAGAAGAGGAAGAACTGTCACTTGTTTTATTATTTTCCTTTTCTATATCACGAAAGTAAAAAGAGTTACCTATCTGATTCGTTCAGGCACTCATTTTAAAGAATATCAGTAACTTTTTGGATAGAGGGATTTTATATTTGCCCTGTTGGTAAAAAATAACGGTCAAAATTCAAAGTTATTCATTTTATAGACTATACCTATGTGGCGGATTCATCTCTCCAAAAAATCCTATATGGGTATTTCGCCACTGCAAGAAAATCTACAAAATAAAATAGTCATTTTATTTTGTAGATATATAACACTTCTGCGTTAATCCCAAACGGAAACTACTTGTCAGAAGTTAGGTTTACGGATATACAAATTTGCCTAAAGGCCTGTTTACACTACGTGCAATACGGTGCAATGGCAATTTTTTAGTTGCCCGAACGCACGCGCACCTCACACTTTTCGATCAGCTGATGCAATTTTCATTGCATTGCATGGAATTAGAACACGCGCTAATTTGATTGCACCTAGCATGCAATTTTTGGTTCTACCAACCAAAAAAATCAAATTTATAATTAAAATAATATAGTTTCTGTTTTAAATAATAATAAATTAAGATACAAACTCTAACTACAAAATCTAAAAACCTTTAATAAGACATACACAACGATACCTCGAAGATAAAATAAAAAAATAAATGAAACAGTTGTTATATTCATTTTATTTAGGTTGGTACAATAGATTCTCAAAATTATGGCATGTATTTTATTGCACCCTATGTAAACGGTAAATTGCGCGTGCAACCGAATTGCATGCCATTTTTAAAAATTGCGTTGCATCCAATTGCATCTAGTGTAAACACCGTTTAACGAACAAAAAAATGCTTTACGTTTCGGAAAATTGATCTCTTTCCGTCGTCGGAAGCAAAAAATACAAATAATAAAGAAAAAAACTATTTAAAATATTTAAATTCAACTATTCGAGAACACTCTAGCTTTTTAAAACAGATACGTCTACAAAAACCGTTGACGTTCTGTTAAAATGACATTATATCAAGTTAAACTTCAAAATTAACAATTGCTACCTGATAACAATTACTTAATAAGGTAAAACCAAAAAGCACCAAACTTTCTGTATGATTATTTTTAATTTTTACGTATGTTATGTTTATTTATGTTATGTTCTTTAAAATCAAAGAAGCGATTGTCATACATTACTAACATCTACAGATTCATGAGCAATACATTTATTTTTATTAGATTGTATTAAAAAGCCTCTTTTCTTTTTCTTTTAGAGGCTATCGCTTCTTTCATTATAATTTTGACGTTATTAAAATTAATTCTGTGCCCTGTGTCCCATGAATGCTGACAAATCTTAGTTTGGTGAAAATCTCCCTTTTTTAAATAATCTTTATGTTTTTTAATTCGAACATTAGAGGGTCTAGATGTTTCACCAATGTAAAATTTATCACATTCACATGGTATTTGGTATATTACATTTTTTGTTTGTTGTTCTGTATTCATTGGTTTAGTATGTGATAAAATGGATCTAAGTGTATTTTGTGTTTTGAAAGATGTTAGTATGTTATATTGTTTTCCTATCCTTCTTATTTTTTCCGAAACGCCCCCATATGTATGGAATTGTAAGTTGTATATGTTACGGTTAAGGTCCGATGTCCGGTTGATGTCGACACTACCCTGTTAATCTTAAGAATAACACACAACAAAACAACCAAAAACATAACCTAACCCAAACATTAACCTGTTAATGTCGACATTAACCGGACATCGGACTTTAACCGTAACATATATATTATGTTTTGTTATCATTGTGTCTATGATTTGGGATTAACGCGGATTAATTAATTGGGATTAAGTTAATTTTTAAGTGTTTACAAAAAATAACTATTTTATTTTGTAGATTTTCTTGCTGTGGCGAAATACCCATATATGATTTTTTGGAGGGAATTAGTCTTTTATTTTGCTGTAGTAACACCAAAGGTTCCAACCTCTAACTGCAAACTACTTTGGTTTCCGACTATGATTTATAACAAGTTAATGTCCGCTTTACTTTATTTTGATGAGCATAGGTGTCGATATTACAAATGAAGTAAAATTCATAACATTTTTAAGACCAATTTATATCAAAAATCAAAAACAAATACTTAAGTAACAGCCTTGTTACGTCTTGAGTAAAAACTGAAAACATCATCTTGTGTATCAGACAATAATGGTTTACTTCCGGCATTTTAAAATCCTAATTGCAATAATAGTTTTTTTTGCGCAAATATTTATAAGTAAATAATGGCATTTTTATACTCATTGATTCAGTTCTAACGTTAAAATGTATTTAATTCCATTTATTTAATCCAATAATTCGTACATAACTAAATTAATTACATATTTGTTAAACGGTATGTAATAATTGTTTACTGTGTATATTATTAAGTTGAATGCAATTTGAATGAATTAATTGAATTTGCGTTCAGAAGAGTTCGGAAAATTATTCATTTCTCGTAAAACTGCTACTATTTTGCATTAAAACATTCAGTTCTGCGGTTAATGCATATTCTTTTTCATAACAAATACGTCTATATGGCTTAAGATGGAAAACTTCTGAGAACAATAATTACACAGTGCCTAAGGATTCTGGTTTTTCTTCTACCCCAGTGTTAAAACCAGTGTATAATTATTTGTATTAATCTTAGGGTTTTCCAAAATCTGTTGTAATCAAGTTTTCCATACTACTAGGAGTTTCTATTGTTAAATGGTACACTATTGTTTTATTTTTTTTTGTCATGTCGTTATCTGCTGATGTCCAAACTCCTACGATATATTATATAAACGTACAGCTCTTCGGCAATTTTAATCTCTAACCAACTATTGTATTCTAATTTAGTCCAGCTTCAAAGTTATCTTCTATGATTTTTCTAGCTATGTAATCAAAATCGTATCGAAAGATTTCTATAGCTGTCTATCTAATATTCTTCATGTTAAATCAAAGAAACATATCCTTGACCTATTAAGTATTTGCATTTGATCAATAGTTAATATATAAAAATTAACAGAAACATTGTATTAATTGTATGGAGTGTTAGAATCATCCATAGAACCGTGTACAGCTTCGATTCTGTTCAGTTTTGTTCAATTTTCATCGCATGGGTAACTTTTCGATAGGTACAGCTATACAGGAACTATTTTGTCATTGTTACCAAACTATAATTTTTACAGCAAAGTTTTAAAGAGCAAAATAAAAATTGACTGGTTACGAAATAATAGTACACCTTCAATAACCGACCATTAAAAATCAATATGGCATTGAAATTTTTTCATGATATTTAAAAAATACAACCGTATAATTAACAATGACATTTATCGGTTCAACAAAAGATTCGTGTGTATACAATAAATACTGTTTTGTTTATGAAAATATATAGTTTTTTATGTGGATTGGAGTTTCTCCATATTTCTTAGATAATATCACTGAAAAAACTAAAATAACTATATAAAATTGCAAAGTTATGAGTAGAAAGAGGTGTAAA